TGAGAGAGAGGGACAGAGAGAGAGAGAATTTTAACATTTATTTATTTTTTCTTAGTTCTCGGCGGACACAACATCTTTGTTGGTATGTGGTGCTGCTGAGGATCGAACCCGGGCTGCACGCATGCTAGGCAAGCACGCTACCGCTTGAGCCACCTCCCCAGCCCCTCCAGACTGTTAATTCTGACCAATTTAGAAGCAACAAGTACTTCTTGCCGACTTCCCTCCTCTCACTTGTTAGAAGTACCAAGGTGCCGCAAGAAATCAAACACATGCTCAGGAGTGGGTTGATAAGGCAAATTTGTACTCCTGCTGAAGGGTTTTGCCACACAGGGAATCTGGCAAGTAAGCAAATCTGGATAATCTGTTCTGCCCCATGAGGCTTCTTAAACTTCTAGTGATATTATACCTACTATTCTTTAAGCATAGCCCACAGAGCTTTCTAGGTGTTTAAAGAGGGTTATGATGGGGCTGGAGATGTGGCTCAAGCGGTAGATCGCTCGCCTGGCATGCGTGCGGCCCGGGTTCAATCCTCAGCGCCACATACCAACAAAGATGTTGTGTCCGCCGAGAACTAAAAAATAAATATTAAAAAATTCTCTCTCTCACTCTCTTTAAAAAAAAAAAGAGGGTTATGATTAATTCAAATACAAAGATTAACTGAAAATGATCTGTCCTGAAGAAGATACAAAATGGTTAAACTTTATCAGGAAGGAACATCTGACTCCAAGTGCAAGGAAAAGGTGGCTTTGGGATCTGAAATGTGCCATCCAAAAGGCTCATGTTTTGAAGATTTGGTCACCAGTGCAATAATGTTCAGAGATGGGGATTTGAGAAAGTGACTAGAGTATGAGGGCTCTGACCTTATCAATGGATTAATCCATTGGGGGAGTCATAATTTAGATTATTGGGAGTGTTGTAGGGACAAACAAGGCAAGGCAACAAAGATAGCAGGAAACTGTTTTATTTGGCTGCAGCCAGGTTCAAAGGGCACAGCTTTTGCTATAATCAATCTCCTGAAACCTGAGTTCAAGGAGTTTCAGCATGTAAGGGGAGGGGCTCAGAAGTTCAGTCTGCAGAAGTTCAGTCTGCAGAAGTTCACATAAAAGAGGCTTTTTTCTTTCATATTTTGGGCAAGTTAACACCTCAAGGACAATACCTGAGAAGGGGAGAGCTCCTTCTCCCCTTTCTCCCCACCCCCCCATCTGTTACCATGGAGTCCAGTTGGTAATTTATCTTTAAAAAAGTAGACATCTCTGTGAAGCCCAGCTCAAGGCCAGAGGCCTTGTTTGCACATTTCTACAAACTACTATACTAGATATGTTTGTGAAAAATTAGTAGGGGGTGTCCAGCACCAGGAGTGCTGATATCTTCCTGGCCAGTGGCCAAGTAAAACAGGGTGACACAAAAATAGGAAGTTTATCTACACTGAACTCTTTTGCAGAGACACTTTTGCTGACAGTCCCAAAATCGGCCATGGTAAATATTTCTGGAGAAGCCCAGTTAAGACTTTCCTGTGGAGAAAGGGGGTGTCACTTCAGGAGGTGATGTAAACTATAGGAAATAGGGCCTGACTGGTACAAGTAGGTCACTAGGGGCATGCCCTGGAAGGGTATGGCTCGTCTCCAGCCCATTTCTTGGCCTCTCTGCTTCCCAAGCACAATGAAGTGAATAGCTCGGCTCAATCACACTCTTTGCCATGATTTTCTGCCTTACTGAGATAGCAATTTGGGAAGAAAGGGAGAGATGCTGAGTCTCAAAGTGCTCTTGATTCATGTGTTACCATCTATGACTGCCAGGTTTATTGTCTCTGTTCAGCAAACGATTGAACAGGACAGAGCAAGCAAGCAGCAGACAGGGGCAAACAACACCACTCAAAGCAGACTTTCCCAGAGAGAAGGGACCCCCAGAGTCAGGAATCCAGTGGGGTAGTCTTGACTTGGTATGGTTTTGTTTTTGTCTTGTTTTGCTTTTAGGATCTCTGGAATTTCCTCATCTCCTATGTCCATGCTCTCCACACTATCAATCGGGCCTCCTTTGTCCATGCATCTGTTTCAGTTTTACTATTGGATCCCCCACTTAGGAGATTGAGTCCAGAACTGTCTGTCTGGATCTTCTGCTTGTGTCCACTAGCACTTTTATCAAGCAGGAAGTTAACCTCATTAGAAGACCCTCTTCATGCTGCTTTGTTCTAGCCCTGCCTGCAACCTCCTCACTCAGTCTTGCCCTGGCTGCCTGGGCTCTTCTATATCTCCCTCACATGCCCTTGTAACATGAGAGCAATTTGCAAGCCCAGGGAAAATTGAAGCAAAATTGTGTAACTCTGCCCCAGTTCCACCTCTAGTTCAGTTCCTAACAGTCCCTATATAAACCCTAACATCCCACACACCAGCAGGTTGCTGTGTCTCCTCTGGTGATACCTCACATTTTCTCCCTAGAATCTGTATTCCTTGCTTTACCTCAAAGCCATCCGTCTTCAGACATCCCCCGGTTCTTCCCTGAATATGTATCTACTTTCCCAAATAAACCTGTCTATGCCTTTGCATTCTGAAATTCCTTTCCATCATGTGCTAAGAATCCTGCTAGTCTTGAGTCAAGTTCCCCCTTTTCTCTAGGAATTCCTCAGACTCTTCTCCAGTGACACTACTACAGGCTCATAGCAGTATCACCAGTCAACTATGAAATGACCTCTGAAACTAACCTCCTAATCTTAAGTTTTTCTTCAAGTATTTTTGTCAGTGACACAAAAGCTAACCACAGATGGGTAATAGAAGCTTTCTCAAGGGGGTTACCTTTGCATGAGTATGGAAGGAGGGAATATATACACAGAAAGAATTTTCAGGACTAGCATGTAGAAATGCACATGCATGATGGAACATGAAATCTGGGGAATTCAAGTAGTCCAATGTGGCCTAAGTTTGGGTTATATTGTGAAAATTACATTCAGCAAGAAATCAAGCACCACTAGAAGGATTAGGGAACTCCGGTTAATTACACCAGTGGACCCAGATGAGCTAGTTCTCCAAAATTCTGGGCCCTGAACAGTGGGGTTACAGGGCTTTAACAGGGCAGTGCAGGAGATAAGGTTCCAAGGGCAATACTGGTTGTTCATAGGTGGGTTTGAAATTTGGGGTTCCACAAGCTGGAATAGAGATTAGGCAGGGTGGGAAGCTTGTGGAGGGAATTCTTTCTATAAACAATTTTCCAAAGTGGAACAAAGGCAGAGAAACATCTGCAAGTGATATCACGAAGTGGCCTTTATCAAGGCAGCAGTTTCTCGAGATAACTGCAAACTTACACTCCTAAGAGCTATAATTCAAACCTAGCATAGAAACCTTACAATTTAAAGGGGTATTTAAACAACACTCTTACAGAGACCATTAATTAACACTCTTACAAAGACCACAGCTATAAAGTAATATTTTCCTTTAACGTGGTGTTAAAAAGATTTCAGAAAAGATTAAATCATGGCTCTCATAGATGTACAATTAAAATGTGCTCAAGATCCTATTCTCTCATCAGACAGGTTCAGTCCAAAGACTAAACAAGCTTATATACCACAAATATTTGAATGTGGAAATGATGTAAAAATATGGAATCTAGGGGTGGGAGGGAAAGGGAAGAGGCAGAGAATTGGCAAGGATGGTGGAATGTGATGGATATCCTTATCCAAAGTACATGTATGAAGACACGAATTGGGTGTCAACCTATTTTACAGAGATATGAAAAATTGTATATGTGTAGTAAGAATTGTAATGCAAAAAAAGCACATGTTTTGGGGCTGGGGTTGTGGCTCAGAGGAAGAATGCTCGCCTATCATGCATGAGGCACTGGGTTTGATCCTCAGCACCACATAAATGTAAAATAAAGATATTGTGTCCACCTAAAACTTAAGAATAAATACTTTTTAAAAAGTACACATAAGGAATTGGTATGAACATACTTTATACACAAAGATATAAAAAATTGTGCTCTATATGTGTAATAAGAATTGTAATGCATTCCACTGTCGTGTATTTAAAAAAAAATTAAAATCAATTCAATAAAAAAATGGAATTTAAATGAATGTGGAAATTGAGGCTTCTGCCACAGTGGGGTGAGGAGTCAATTAAACATCTATTGGACCAAATTAGCATTCAAAATAATGCTCTATAGACATGCAAACACTTACCTACTACCTATAGAGTTTGTTCAAGTTACTCTCCAAGAATCATTGAAAAGCTTGACTTCTCTGCATAATTTTCCATCCAAATACAAAATTTCCCCTATGTCAGTAAGACAAAACTGGTAAAATTACCCAGGGGCCACATCAGATAGGATCACAAATAACACTAAGGAGTCTGTACTTCTGTTAGCCCAGTCTTTGAGCAAAAGATCTTTGAGTTTGACAAATGGCCCAAGCTAGGGAATGTCATGTTCCCCTCTCATTTGGAGAGACATGGTTCCTGGCTTAAACGTTGGGCAGATGGTGGGTACCCACACAAGGAACAACCTCGAGTGGAAAGACAAGTTGTTTTCACATTTGAGTAGGAGGTGCCTCTAGAACATCCAGGTGTATTTATGAACAGGAAGTTGGAAAGGTCCCAAAGGACAAGGCGTGCAGTTCATGTGTTTCTGAAACCAGCCAAGGCATGAGCAGCAGCCTCTGAGCCTAGAACTGTCCCAGCTGTCCTGATCTCCTGAAGATGCGAAGCAGCTGGTGGGAATCCACATAGCCCCCAGCGCAGGAACGCCACTGTCAAGGCCGCAGTCACACTGGGGCGCCGCGAGGAGTCCCCCTAATAAGAGATTCTTAAGCAGGATTCGCGCGAGGGAGCCAGTTGAACCTACCCCATCAACCAGCTGGGCCCCACATGCTACTTCCGCTTCCGGCCACAGACTTTTGGTGCCGCTTCCGCTTCCGACACGCGGGACAGTGCGGGGAGGCGAGCGGCGAAAGCAGCCCTCGCTTGGCGGGTGGGCTCCTGCTAGCGCAGCCGGCCAGCAAGGCCCCCGGCGTGCGGATGCGGCGGCCGCCGCCCCGAGGCCCCACGACGGCCCCAGGACGTGAAGGCGAAGCACGAGGCCCGAGAAAGCGAGGCCGTGGGCTCGGCGAGGCAGGAGGCTGCGGCCTTGAGACCAGGGGGCGCGAGGAGAGCAGGCAGAGGAGGAGAATGGTGGCCCGGGCCTCTGGGAGAGCAGAGGCGGAAAATGACCAGACCGGGGAGGCTTCCAGGGCTGGTAAGGCTGGGAGGCGGCGAGCAGAAGGACCGCGGTGCCCCGTGGGCCCGTTGGACAGTCAGGACATCGAAGCAGTGAAGGAGGCGGAGCTCCCCTTGCAGTCTGGAAGACCTGGTAAGAAAGCTCTCCGAGTTCACTCTCTCTCCATCCTCTTTACCTGGGCCTGCTCCATCTTTATTACTAGTCTTCATTTTTCATCCGCGTGGTGTTTTCCAATGCACATGGTTAACCAAGAAGGGTGGGGGGAAAGATTTTTTTTTTCTTAAAGACGTTTGCCCTTGATTTAGAATTACTGTAGAATGGCTCTGCTAGTGGTCCATTTTTGACTAATGTGAAATGATAGGAGTTTTTCCAACTGCCTTAGAATTCATACAGGTTTATATGTAAATCCTTAACAGAAATTAGGTCTTTTTCATTTTTAAGTGCATATTTCCATATACTATTCATGGAAATAAAAAATGGACGGCTTCACAATTATTTAGGTAAAGTTGTATTACTCTTTCCTCCTCATTGTAAAATGTTTTCTGGTATGTTTTTTGTTGTTTTGATCAGCCAAGGAAAAAAGAAAAGTTACCGAAGCCTCGAGTGATGATTCACAGCCAGGGATTGACCTGGTAAGAAAGGAATCATTAACCAGTTCGGAATCTTTCCAAACAGTGGAATGCAGTGAATTTCAAAATATGGCTTTGTTGCAGTCTTTGGCTAAGGAAGGTTTGGTAGAAAGTAGTAAAAGAAGAATTCAAATTAAAAAACATAAAAGTTTAGAAAGCCCACCTCTCAAAATAACAGAAAATGAGGCTACACAAAATATTAAGGTTGAATTCCAAGATGAACTGTACAAGAGTACTTCAGAATATTCTTGTAACAGCTTGTCACCTGGAGTAGAAAATAATCTTATTTTAAAATTACATGAGTGCAATTGTTTTCCCCATTCCAAGGATTGTTATAGTGAAAACAACTTTGCACTTAAACCTGATGGTGGATGTATACATGTAGCAGAAAATTCTTCGAAGAAAGAGAACCTTAATTTCAAGGATTGTTGTAATGAAAACAACTTTGCATATAAACCTGATGATGGATGTATACATGTAGCAGAAAATTTCTCGAAGTCAAAGAAAGAAAACCTTAGGAATCCTTCAGAAAAAAGTGACGCAAATAGTATTCCTACTCTCTTACAAACTGAAGAAAACTTAATGGGAGTAAATAACTTACTGCTTGAAGAAAGTGATTTATACCAAAGTAAAAATAATGGTTTTCAAAGTGAAAAAAATAAATATTTGTCAGAGGAGAGCGATGGTGGCAGAAAACCCAGAAAAAAGATGAAATTGTTTGATAAAGAAGAACCAGTTAGTGAGATGGATTTCTCTAATATGTCTAACAAGTCTGAGTTGATATTGCAAGAAAACCAAATGAGTACAGATGGGAAAGAAGCAGAGACATTAGAGGCAAGCAAAAGTCCTTTAAAAGGACTTAATATACTCTCTCCAATGGATCATTTATTAAGTCTGCCAGAAACTGCAGGAAGAAAACCAAGTCCTGGACATCATGTAAATGCTATGTTTCAGAAAATTCTTGAACCATTTTTGAAAGAAGAAACAATGCCTACCTTAGAGTCCTTAAATTATAAAAACATGGAACCCAAAGAGTATTTTAAATCAATGACAGGCTCTCTAGTGATATTGCCTAGTGATGGCCGTGATACCGAAAAGAGATCTTCTCGGGAAGATTTGAGAGACGAAGGTGAAGAATCAAAGGTAAGCTGTCGCAGAACAACACCAATGACTGGTAAAAGAATTTGGCCTTATTATTCATGTGCTAGAATATCTGCCCAGTGTTGGAAAAAGGCTTCCTTGCCAGACTCAAATTACTTATTTCCTAGGTCTCAGGAAAATTTTGGGCAAGATGATTTTCTTAAACAACAAACAACAAACCAAACTCACTTAACTGACTCCAAATTTTTGTTACAAAATTCCTTACCAGAAAAAAAAATTGAATCCTCAACTAAAGAAAAACTAGATTCTAATTTAAATTGTTTGTCTTCAGTTTTAGAACCTACTTTGGTTATAAAGGAACCTATAATCAAGAATGATAAAAGGATAAAGTCAGAGGAACTGAGCAGAGATGGGTCAGAGGTAGTTTCTAATACTACTGAAGATACTCAGTTAACTAATGTGATTCAAAGCTTAACAGGAAATAAAAAAAGAGGAAATTTAACAAAACCTAATTTGACAATGGCTTCCCAGGATGGCCAGGAAGTAAATAACTCTGCAAGCAAAACTATCCATCGCAAAGCTTGCATTACTAAGCAAACACTTGTGGTTCCAGACTTGGTTAAAATATTAAACACGGGACGGCTGACTAATTTTAAAATTCCTTTACTTAAGAATAAGACAGAAAAAAGAAAAATAAATGCCAAGTCTTCAGAGAGAGAAGCTTACAGTCCCCTAAAACTTCTTGACAATTTATCTGACTCAGAGGTAAAACAAAATAGGAATAAAAATGTCTCCACAGCAACTTCAGAACGTCAGTCTTTGGGTATACAAAATGGTGTGACTCCAGGGCAAGCTAATTCTGACTCATTCTACAATAAGAATCCCTGTAGTATTTCTCCAAGCTTTACGAAGCAAGGTGATGATGATAAACCATCCAATTATATTTCTGAACTAGGCAATATTGTTTCCAATAAGGAACCTGTTTCTTTCATGATTGAAAATAATACTTTTTCTTGTGGTCCTGGGTTTATAGAGGAAAGTTCCTTCTGCTCTAAGGATCAAGAAGTATTTGAACCAATTTCCTCTGAAATTAGTGGTAGAAAAATGACTAAGAGCATTTCAAAAATCGAAGTGGAGTTTCCAGATATTCTTAAGGCTTATGAAGATGATGTTCTCTTAATTGATGTAATTCAAGATGACCCAGACCTCTTTGGAGTCTCCAATGAAGGGGAGCTCTCATCTGCCTCAGAGATCCCCAAGATAAGCCAGGAGCCCAGTGTTGCAGAACAGCACCACTCAGCAGACTCCAAGCACATGGAACTTCCAGAAAAAAACGAATTGGGTGATTTGAGGTATGCATGTTCACATGTGCCTTTTGGTGCAGATCATTGGGGATTTCAGAAGCGCACTCTGCTTAGATGTCACTGATATTCAGTGATCATTGAATAAATAACAGTTATTAAATAAATGTAATATATCACTGCTGACACCTGGAAATGCCATGTGCTAAAATTTGAGTTCAAGTAATGGATGGTATATTATATATCTTGGAAAACATGGAGCAGATCAGCTTTTAAAATCTTAAATGATGGTTTTTATAAAGTGGCTTTTGAAATTAGAGTCTTAAAACATCAGTCGTTTTTGGTTTTGCTTGTCTTTTTGTGGCTGGAGGGTGGACCCATGGTGCTCTACCACTGAGATATGTCCCCAGCCCCTTTTTTTTTTTTTTTTTTTCGACACAGCATCTTACTAAGATATCCATGCTACTCAAACTTGTAATCCTACTTCAGTCTCCTGAGCAGCTGGGATTACAGGTGTGCCATGCCAGGCTTGTATATTCTTTAAAATTAAAATTTTATCTGCACGTTTATAATAATCAAATTACTTAAGATTGGTGCTGTGTATCTTAACCCATTTTCTGTGACTTCCTTGTTAGATTAACAAATTCATTTTTCCAAAGAATAGATGCTGTAGAAATTTGAGGCAATTAGATATTGAAAGTAGAATCAAATTTAGTTTTCAGAACATAATTTTTTTTCATGGTCTTTTAAAGTGACAGTTTTAAGTTGACCTATTTGGGGAGCAAAAATGATAAGTTTGCCTAGGGCAACATGAATTAAGTAGTAACCTTCATGCTTAAGAACTTAAGTTTTGGCCAACCAAAATATATAATTTCATTTTACTAAACTATTATTGTTCAAGCTCTTTTTTTATATCTGTATTTTATAGTGCTTGAATATTAGAATGTTTATGAACAGATTCAGAAGGAAATATGAAAACATTTCACTAAAATTTAATGCCACATGACTTAAATTTCTCATTTTTATAAAATTTTAGTTACATTGGAGAAATTTATGTTCTTGGGACTTGCAAGAGTTGAAGCTTAGATATGACTCAGTGGTACCAGTGGTAGAGTGCTTGCATAACATGTACGAGGCCCTGGGTTCAGTCTCCAACAATACACACACACACACACAAACAGAATATTTTCTGTGTGCCAAATGGAAGACCAAGACCTTTGTTTTTAACTGTGAAATGAAATTGGGATGGCAATCTTGCCCACTTTAAGGATCAGGACTTCATTGTTCTAGAGTCACACTGCTAGTAGAAAAACAATCTGAATTTGAGCCAATGCTTCAGTCTAAAACTAGTGGTTAAGACCTTTACCTTCATAATCTAAGGATTTTAAATCTTTCCATGCTACAGAAATAGCTGTTAAGCAAATTATTTAACCTTATCATTTAAAAGAAAACATTTCCCTTAGAGTTTTGAGGATTAAATCAAAGAGTGAATGAAAAAGGTTTTAACATAGCTTTAAGCAATAAGAGCATAAAGTTTTGTTGTTGTTGTTTTTCTTCATTTGCTTTTTACCTACTAAAGTTTTCATCCTTTGAGGAACTAAAATTCTGCACTTAGGAGCAGGCATCTCTGTCAGCAAAATGCTGACAGAAAACTACATACAGCCAAAGGTAGAGATAATTGTGAACTTCAGTACAGAAAGTTTCTTTTTTGCTGGGAATGGAACCCAGGACATTGTGAATGCTAGACGAGTAAGTGCCCTCTACTCCTGAGTTTTACCCCCAGCCCTTACTTTTTATTTCAGATAATTTTTTTTTAATTTCACTTCCCTTTACTTAAAATACTAATAACAAAAGGAAGAGAGCAAATAAAAGTATATCTGCTTCTGAAGATTGTTTTTAAATGAACTTGAAAATTTCCTCAGTGACTTTTTTAAAAAATATTTTAATTTTGGTTCTGCACAAAAATACCAGTTTTGCTGTCATTCATGGTAATAAAAGCTAAACCTTAAAAGGGAAAGAAGGGCATGATAATCAGAGGATCTGCCAATAGTTGTACAGAAGGTTAACAGTTCAAAACTGACACTTAAAATATATCGAATTTCAGTTCTGTCCCTCTTACTAGTTCATATTCTCTACTGTGCCCAAATAGAGGTTGAAGGCTTCTAAATAGTTCTTATTTTACAGAAATAAAAACAAATACTTGGAAGCTCTGAGCTGCCTCTTATTGGTTAAAAACAAGTGGACAAACATAAGCTGAGTTGTTGGGGAAAGCATTATCAGACCTGGTTAGAATTCATAAGGTGTTTAGATCATGATAGGATGTTTATACATTGTAACCCTCCACAGTGAGGAATGTCCATGTTAAAATCAAAGCATTAGAAGCATATTAGAACTCATTCACTAAAACTTTAACTGTTGAGCTTGCAAATGAATAATGGCTAAGATTAGCAAATCTAGTGACTTTGCCTTTATCATTGGAAATGATCAGAGAATGTTAATAGTAGTGCATGAAACAGATAATATGTACTAGAATGTGTATTATATGCTGAAATATCAGTTGAATGATACTATAAAGTGGATTTTTTTTCCCTAAGAACCTGCTAAAATTTTGGAGGGAATTACTTTATAGCTGGAGTGGAGTTGATGTGTTTGGAACAAAAATTATATAAACTGAAGTACCAAGAATAGTAGGAATTTGAAAAAGGGAGGGATGAAAAGGCAGTTGGTAAAGCAAAAGTTATATTGATTCTCAAAGTTTGGGTTGATTGAGAATAACAAAGGGAAAGAAGGAAAGAAGTTTGAGAAGAAATAATGAAGAATTCATAGGCAGAAAAAAATTAGATATGAATATATTTGTATAGGTATGGTTATGAAGGCTTTCCTAACTCCTTCAGGCAGAGTAGAAGCCCTTATGTGTTCCTGTAGTACTCATGCTACCTCAGTTATTCTGATTTTCATGATTTTTGTGTATCTAACCTGATAAAACACTTTTCCTACATCAAAAATTCTAAGTTTCTCTGCAAGTCCAGTTCCTCATATGCTGACGGAGAGAAAATATTTAAGAACAGTGGTAAACAAGATTTAGAGAAGTAGGTAGAATGGTGCCAAATTAAGGAGATTGGAAATTTGGGGCATAAAAACTTGAACTCTAGTATAGAATCAGTGTGGTAGTGAGTAGGCATGAGTTGTACCACTTTTACAATTTAAGTCCAAGGAACCATTGTAGATTCTAGAGCTGGTAAATAGACTTCTAGAAAGGGAAATGCCTGATGCCATTGCATAGAAAATACAAGCCTACCATTTTTTGCCCAGGTCTTGAGTTCCCTTAGACCCATCCATCCCCAGCGTGGATCCGTCCTGGGCAAATTATTTGTCTCAAGTAATCAATCCCACTTTTCATAATCTAATATAATCCCAGTTTAGTCCCTGGGAGATTGGCTTTGTAAAATAGATTACTTTTACCAAACCAGATGGAAAAAAGTTACACCAGAAATAAAGGTCATTTTTTTGTCTTTTGTATTGAGTCTCCTTGCCTCTATTGTTCCTTTCCACTGAATAGCTAACGTGTTCTAATACAGATTTTTAGACTTAATTTTAAGAGCTAATGTTTAGTGTCCACCATATCATATCATATATAGTGGAACAATTCTGAGGTTGAAATTCACCTGTTTTTGTAATTGAATCAAGATAGTTAACTTCCCAAACGACACACTTCCCGAACGACACACAAAGCTTCTAAGGGTCTGGGCTATTACTCCACAAACTGCTACAGAACAATATTTACTTCTGATCCCTTTTCTTTAATCTGTTTCTCTTAAAAATAGTAGGTAGGATAGTCCAAAGCATTATTCTGGTTGTTTTTTCGGTTTTTTTTTTCCATTTTTTTTCTTTTAGGCCACATAGATGTTACTTTGTCTTTGCTGAATAAACCCAATAGTACTTAATAAACTATTGTTTATGAAATCAGGACATCTATAACTGCACAGCATGGCATCAAGCTAGGGAACCTCTGGTCCAATAAATTGAATACTGTAATATTTCTCTCTGGCCACTGCTCTCTGCAAAATATTGTTCTAATAATTTGTATCCATCCTACCTAGAAACAGAATATATGAATAGATGAACCCTGATTACAGTTAGCATCTCAAAAGAGGCAATGACCTTCTTGGGTTTTTTTTCCCTTGGGCAATAGTTTCCAAACTTTTTCTGCTAGTAATCATTCTAAAGCAGTCATCTTCAAACCTGTTTGTCAGTTACCCAAAGTAACGATATATTTTATCTTAAATACAGTACACACTTACAAATATGTGAAATAGTAAGTTTATTAAAAACAGTACAAATGATATAATTTCATTGTGTTTTTGTTTACTTAAAAATATGGAAATTACCAAATTTGAATAATGCTATGGTAGAGGATGAATTTGTTATCTGTAGAGATCTTCAAAGTTGATTTAAGTCTCATTCTCTTTTTTTTTTTTTTTCTTTTTGGCTTGGGTCTTTTACTTCTCTATTTCTATAGCCTCATCCAAGTCTGTTTTCTTTCCTTTTCTGCTTCTACTCTTCTTTTATTCCCTTTCCCATTCCACCAATACAGGACTTCTTTTCGCTCCTCTGCTGATGCAGAAGTACAAAATATTTCTGCATACTACAGTTTTGCTCACTTTTTAAATTTAGGTGATATGACTTTTGTTTCAGATTCAAAATAAAACTACTTCTTAAGAATGCCATATGTAATTTTTATCTTCAGTATAACTTAGCTATACGTGGTAAAATTTCTCATACTTGTTTAAATTTAGCTAACAGTATTATTATAAATAGTATCTTAATACAATATTAAAGCAATATACTTGCTATACCTACTTATAAATGGAACTTTCAGGATAATTGGAAACTACCAAAGCATCTCTTAGTTCTCTTTTATGGAGTAACATAATTTTCTTCATTCTATTACTTTATTTTTTTTAATATTTTTTAGTTGCCAATGAATTTTTCACTTTATTTGTTTATTTATATGTGGTGCTGAGGATTGAACCACTGAGCCACAACCCCAGTCCCTTCATTCTATTACTTTAATATCTCTCAATACTGTTTCTTCCTTTCCATTTTCACTGTTACTATCTTAATTATAAGATAATTATTGTAATTATTAGATTATTGTAACCTCTTAATCTTCCTGAACTCTTTTAAATATCATCTGCCATAGTGATATTCTGAAATTTGTTGGAGTGCCTCACAGACTTTCAGCCACCTGAAGCTAGTCTAAATTGTTTGGCTTTTTTTTTTTTTTTTTTTTTTTTTTACAACTGTAATATTGGAGAGAAGGAAGAAGTTGAGAGGTTTATAAGAAAGACAGCAAGCAGCTCAATGTTTCCACAGTGTGCTATCTATTTATGTACTTTGATCCTTTTGCATGTTTATTTGAAAGTCTTTTAATCTCCAACTAGCCATCAAATCACATCTGAGATGTTATTCCAGGGTTTTGTTCCAATTATTATGTCTGCTTACATGTGAACCTCACTCTATATTAGGAATTGCTACAAGGGAAAGGGGTATCTTCATTTGTGTCTCATATCTGGCATTGTGCCAGGAATGTTAGATGCTGCCTATACAGAGAGTATAGTACAGATATATAGGGTCTTGCCCTTATAGAGCTTTTAGTCTGTCAAGGGAGACAAGTATTTAAGTACAATAAAATATAGAGAACAAGATTTCAAAAAGAGACAATGCCTTCTTTAGTGACTTAGGTTGAGTGTCAAAAGTAGGAATTAGCTAACTGGTGAAGAAAAGTGAGAAACTGAAAAAATGTCCCATGGTAAGTGTTCAGATATCAAGAAATGTTACAGAATTTATAAACAGTTATGAAGGGCTTTAAAAAGTAAAATGACTATAGACTATATCGTAATTTCAACTTTTTTGAGAGGCAAATGGGGAGCTATTAGTATGCCAGGACAACAAGCATGAATGGACCAATCTTGGCAAACTAGAATTTAGGCCAAGTTTAAACTTTAAGTATATAGAAATTCATTGAAGGACTTGAGAGAGAAGTTGATCATTTTACACTAAAAAAAATCCATATCCCTGGTATCAATAATAATTGTCAAGGAATTGTTACCAAGTCCTTTTTGTCTAATTATTTTAACATCAAAGTGTAAATGGATTTGAGAGGTTTACTAAGTGAAGACTGATAATCAGGTGGGTGTGAGGCAGAAGAAGAGATAAAGATGATACCTGGCTTTTCTCAGAAAGGCCTCAACCTTTCTGATGCAGAGGGTCAGAATTGGGGAGATTGGATTTAGATGTTTTGAGTCGGAGGCCTTTGTGATACCTGCCTACTAGAATGATTTTGTTTAATTCCAAGTCTGGAGAGGCCTGAGTTAAAGAGATTTGTATATGTGGTGTTCTATTTATATTTTCCCATCCTTTAAACTGTACTTCTGTTTCTAGGATTTATGTTGGGGGGAGAAAACATGTCTTCCAAAGACTTCAGAGAACCATAAATACAGATTGTTTTCAGTTTTTCTTTCTTGGATAAGAAATAATCCTGAACCAGTGAGCTGTATAGACCTGCAGGCTATATTTAACTAAAATTCATCTATTAAATAAACAAATTATGGGTATTTATATTTTATTCTTTGTATTTTCATTAATGTAAGTTTTTTCTGTTTTTTAAAACAGAATAGTATTTACTGGTGTTCTGTTTGACTCCTGTGTTTATAGTTTTTATTTGTTGAGCCCATTAAAACAATTCTCATTTGGTCCTCACAGTAACCCTGTGGATAGGTGTTAGTCTCATTTTATAGATATGTTTAGACTCAAAAAGAAGTTTAGTACTTTGGGCACAGTTTACACAAAGTGACTGAACAGTATTGGAACCAGGTTGGTCTATGATTTCTATACCCTTCATTTTTAGGTTGTAAGTTGTCTATAAGAGATAACAGCAAAAAAAAAAAAAAAAAACCTCAAACTGTCTTCTTTTACACTAGTAATGACATATATGCTTGAGGATAGAAGTTGAGCATTCTTTCATGGATGTAATAATTTTAAAAAATTTTTAAATGCTTGTTTGTCTTATCTGATTCTTAGAAAGTGCTGCTGTCCAACTGTGTTACTAACAATTGAGACGCACGTGGGTAAAGATCCAAGTGAGGAATCTGTGTAAATGTGCTGGGTCCTGAGTACCAGTATATTATTCTGTCCTGAGAACTTGATGGGTTTCACCAGTTGCTAACACTAGTATTATATAGTTTTTAGAGAAGTAGAGAGTTCTGTTTAGAATATGTTACAATGTTTAAGCTCTGTTTGCTTATAATAGAGAACTACCTGTACTGGACCTTGGAATGACCAAGTCAGAGATCTGTTCTTCCCTGTTGGCAGGTAAAATTTGATTTCCCCCCCCCCCAACAAGATAAGCAATATTGAAGTATCTATCTCCATTCAGGCCAAATCAAAATGAATTCATTAGAATAGGAAGCTTTTAATTTTAGAATCTGCTAATCATATGTCTTATAGTTCATTGGTTTTGCTCAGTTTGAATTGAATAGTTGGCAGGTTAAATTTTGAGATTTGATTCAGTACATAACTTTGCTGTACATAACTTTGCTATGCTTTATCTACAAAAGATAGGTAATTTACCTCATCAATTTTGTAGTCTTATTTTGGAATTATATATTTCAAATTACAATGTACATTATAAATCTGAGCCATTAAAAATCTAACAGCTAATCGTAAGTTTAAATACCTGAGTCTTTGCAGAATTATAACTTGATGCAAAAGTTACTTTTATTTTAAGTCTTAAAAATATTTTTGAATAGGTAGACATAATCTTAAATCTCTTACTGTCAGTTCTGTTTGTACCATGCTATAGAGTTATTTTGGTACAAGTAGGGAATTACATATTTGCTGAAAACTCTACTCCATTTTTGTCAGTAGACTTTAAGACCCTCCACATTCTGTTATTTTTTAGAACACTGTTTGACTGACTTATTTAAAGTTTCTATAGTTGAATACCATTTCTTTTCAGCAAATGAGATAGAACATGATTCCAAAGGTACAAGCATTTCCTTAGAAGTTACTAACGAGACCTCCGAAAACGAAAAACTGGAAGATCTCGGTGAACAAATAAAAGTTTCAAACTTGGATGAAAAGGTACTAGAGAATTTTTTGCCTTTTCTTATTTCTTGATCTTAAATACTAATGCAGAATTCATGTCAACATTGCTGTCAAATGACAAGTGTAACTACTTTTGAGTAAGAGACTTATCATTCTGACAATGGTATATATCCCTTAATGCTTTTTGTAAACGGCATAGACAGGGTTTCCCTTATCTGGGAAAAATAAGATGTCCTATTAAATTACATATTAAGCTTTTTAGTATGCTGAAGTTCATCACAAACCTATGACTTTGTAAATATTCTGTATTTTCCTACCTTGTTAAACTACTGAATATAAAATTTTTCTTAATATCATAGTTCCTGAAGGCCATGAATGATGTACAACCACAGATGTAGAAGGCATAAAAATTAGAGCTGAGCCTATCTTAATGCCATACCACTGATGTATGAAAATTTTGGTATCAAGTTTTCAAATTTTCTGCCAGGGGCTGGGATTGTAGCTCAGTGGTAGAGTGCTCACCTAACATGCATGAGGCGCTGGGTTGTATCCTCAGAATCACAAAATATAAAATAAAGATATTGTGTCCACCTAAAACTAAAAAATATTAAAAAATTTCTTCCATATAATGTGTAATTATTTGATCCTTTTTCATAATTTAATTGACTCCTAAACAACTATTTCTTCTTTCCCCTTAAACCTTCATTTTATCCTCATTCATCCTCACTAATAGCCTTGTTTTATACTTCACCAAGAAAACTGAATCGGAAAAGAATATCCTAAGTTGTTACTAGTACATTAAATTGCCTACCTGCATTGCTCCCAGATGTTAGCTTTTCTTAACAGATGAACTAGTCAATTAATTTCCTTCATCTCTACTACATTCCATTTCTTCCCTAGCTTAAAATACTACTCCAGATTCTTCCTTCACTGCTGAATCATTCTCAACAAATAAACATGCTTCTCTCCCATATTTTTAATAAAATGAAACAAAACACCTTTAATGGTTCATTGCCCCTTTTAATAGTCCCAGAAGGCTTTTCTATGCCCATTATCTTGTTTCTGTGCACCAGTTTCCCTCAAAGGAGAACTTACCTGGACTACCCTTCTTAACCTCTCCAGGGACATCCTTGTTACTGAATCTGATGGGCATTTCTCAGTCTTACTCTTAACCTACCACCAGTATTTGACACAATTGACTGCTTTCGTTGAATCTTTTTTTTTTTTCCACTTGGTTTCAAGAATGAACACATTTGCCCAGTTTGCTTTCTACTTTGTCTGCCATTTTTCAGTTAGCTTTGCTGGTTATTCCTGATTTCCCTGACATCTGCATGTTGAAGTAACTCAGATCCCAAATCATAAATCTGTTCTTTTTCTATCTAGACTTATTTCCTAGGTGGCTTCATACATTTTTATTGCATTAAATACTTTCTATGTGATAAGACTCTTTATAGCCTAAACTTCTAAACTACAGACCTTTGTTTAGTTGCCTACTTGCTTTTACCACTTGGATAAGTAGTTAGGCATTTTACCTTAACACAAAACTGATATATATCAAAAACTGATATATATCCCCTACCCTACCACAAATTGGCTTCTCCTGAAACGACCTTCTCTATTTACAGCTTCTCCATTCATAATTGCCCACATCCCAAACCTTGGGTATCCTTACTTTCATTAGTTCTCACTCCATATGCAGAGTACATGGTTTTATATACTGGTTTTATACTCGCACAGTGTCTAGAAACTGTTCATATTTTCTTACTCATCAACACTACACAGGTCCAGATGACATTCTTCTCTTGCCTGAATTATTGCAGTAGCTTCCTAATAGAACTCCTGCTTCTAATCTTGCCCTCTGGTAGTTTATTTTCTGTATAACATGTTTGAGCATTTCATTATGCTTCAAACCCTCCAAAGGCTTCTATGCCATTCATAGTCAAAATCCTTTCTGTGACCTACAATGCCCTGTATTTGCACTCCAAACTTCTTTCTGACCTTGTCACTTCTCCAGTTTCTTGCTCTCCTTTTATGGCAATACAGCCATTAAAAACAAGACACTTATCCACTATCCTTGTTCTTGAAACGTCACCAGGCCTCCTCTTACTTCAAGGCCTTTCTCCTTGCCATTTAATCTGCCTGGCATGCTCTTCCCCATAAAATAGTATGGCTGACTCTTATTTCTTTCAGGTCTTTTCTCATACTTCATAATCTTAAGGAAACCTTCCCTGGCCATCTAACCTAAAATTCTAATACTCTACCTTCTTCCAACATTTCATATCCCCCTTTCTTGAATTTATCTTGATATAACATGCTCGGGACCAGAAGTGTTTTCAGATTTCAGAGTTTTTCTGATTAGAATATTGTCATAGACTCTACCAATTGAGCATGTCTACTTCAGAAATCCAAAATCTGACATGCACCAAAATCCAAAAGTGGTTTTTTTTGTTGTTGTTTTTCCTTTTTCATATCATATGAGTGCTCAAAGTTTAAATTTCAGAGAATTTTGAATTTTAGATTTTTAAGACCAGGTATGCCCAACTTTGACAAATATTGCAAAATATGGACAGTAAAAAATTTAAGATACAGAACATCTCTATTGGCCAAAAGGATTCCTCATGTTGCCCTTTTTTTAGCCACACTATTTCCTTCCCTTCTGTCCCCCCCCCAGCCCCTTGACAATCACTAATCTGTTCTCCATTTGTACTACTGTCATTTCTAGAATGCTGTATAAATGAAATCATACAGTATGTTTACATCCTTAATTTTTTTTCAACCAGGGGATTATTCATTCAGAATATTGCACGTGTCAATAGTTGCTTACTACTTAGTACTACACCTATACCACTTTGAGCTATTCTATTCATTGAAGGACATCTAGATTGTAGCCACTTTGTCTATTCCAAATAAAGTTGCTATGTACAAATACTCATTAGTTTTGGTACAAACCAAAGTTCTCATTTCTCTGGGATAAATGGGCTATAATTGCTGTATGGTAGTTGCTTGCTTAGGTTTTAATTTGAGTGAATTGAACCTGATACTGCCTGTGGTTTGGGGGCATTTGAAATCTTTAATTCTTTTAGTCTTAGCTGGGTTGTTTGGAGTCTGTATAGCTATAATTTGTGGACCAGCCAGATTGGATCTGTTTACAATTAGATTTGGGGGCTTCATCTTTTAGGCTCTCATATTTTCAGGATTTCCATCCTCACTTTTCAGTTTGTTACTCTGCCCTTAATTCTGTCTCCTGAAATTATCATTATTTATTTATTTATTTTTTGGTCAATAGGGCAAATTCTTAATCTCCTAAAATGGTCCCAATAATGCCTGCCTTTGGGAATACAGCCATAAAAATAAGACACTTATCCAGTATCCTCCTCTCTTTGAGTATGAACTTCCCTCTAGATTCTGCTTTTCATTTATCCAAGGCTTTCAGGTATAGGTTTTAAGATATGTTCTCCATAGATCATAGTTTACTGTAGAATGGTTAATCCAGTAGGAGATACTCTGCCATTTCTCAGTTGATCTGTTGTTCATTCTTTTAAACTTTATGCAGATGCTAGCATATTGTTTTTTTCTTAATATAAAATGGAATTTTTTTTTCCTTTCAATGTAGTGATGCCATGTTTTTCTAGTTACATAACTATCTACTACTTTGTACTCAGAGATGTCCACCGTTGATGGACATTTGGTTTACCTTTTTTTTCTATCTAACATATTACACATCCTTAAACATAAAGAGTTCTGCATATGTGCAAGCATTTTTAGATTAATTGCTAGAAATAGAATTGTCAAACTGCCCTACAAAGAGATTGCATTGACTTATACTTCCAACAACATTGAGAATGTCACTTTTCTCCCTTACAACTTACCACTTTATGTATTGTTTGGTTGGTTTTTGTGGTACAGGGTATTGAACCCAGAACCTTAAGCACGGAGCTACATCCGCAGATCTTTCTATTTTAAGACAGTCTTGCTAGGTTGCCTAGACCACCATCAAATTGGTGATTCTCCTACATCAGCTTCCCAAGTAGCTAGAATTACAGGTTTGCACAACCATGAGGGCATCACAACTCATTGAATTGGTTTTTGTCCACCTTTGTTTTTACAAATGGCCTTGTTTTAGTTTAATATACATTTCTCTTATGAGTCTAGTTAAGTATCTTTTAGCGTGTTTAAAAGCCATCTCACTTTTCTGTGAACTTCCTGTTTTTTGCTAGCTTTTCTTCTGGAATTTCAATCTTTTTGTTTATGGGAACTCTTCATGTGTTGAACTCTTTACCTAGTATTTTTATCCAGGAATGTTGTGTATCTTTTCATTTGTTATTTTTTCTTTGTTTTTGATCTTGGGTAGTGCTGGGGATCAAACCCTGGGCCCTGTGCATGCAAAACAAGTGCTATACCACTAAGCTACACTCTTCTCCCCTAGCATGTATGACTTTATTATAATTAGAAATTATGTTCTCAAAATATTTCACAAATAGTTTTTTTTGGGGGGGGGGTTTAAGTGTAGCTGTTGCGAATGTCATAGGTGTGGTAGCTCATGCCTATAATCCTAGCAACTGGAGTGGCTAAGACCGGAAGATCACAAGTTCATGGAAGGGCTCAACAATAGAATGAGACCCAAAGCACCTTAGCACGACTACCTCAAAATAAAAAGAATTGTAGTACAGTGGTAAAGCACCCCTGGGTTTAATCCTTGGTATCACCAAAAGTTTCAAGAAGCTTTTAAATATTTCTAATGAAAAATTGTTTATAGATGCCACCTGAAGAAAAGTCACTCAAAAGTTAATTTGGGGTGGGGAGGGGGAGGAAGGGGAAGAAGCGCAACTTTCAATGTTCATAATAACTTGAAATAATGACATATATTTTTCTCTTTGATAGTAGAAATTAAGTGAATATTCAGTAATTCTGTAGAATTGTTTTTATGATCAGCCATAATCTAATTGTTTAACCTATAATACATTTTAATATGATAAACATCATAGTTTAATATATAGATACTCACTTCTTGTCTAACCATAATCTCTTCATAGTGTAGAGTTTCAGATAAGGCGACTAACAAAGAAGAAAAAGAAAGTACTTACGAAGCTTGTAAAAGGTCTGTAACAATTCTTTGTTGTTATTGGTTTCTGGTCCTGGGGATTGAACCCAGGGGTGCTTAACCACTGAGCCACATCCCCAGCTCTTTTTTGTATTTTTTATTTAGAGACAGTCTTGCTGAGTTGCCCGGGGCCTCGGTAAGTTGCTAAGGCTGGCTTTGAACTCATTATCTTCCTACCTCAGCCTCCCCAGCCACTGGAATTATAACATGTGCCACCGTGCCCGGCTTTACCATTTCTAATACAACTTTAAAATGGTCACCCATCTAATTGGTATTTTGAGTATTTTTATTCTGTTATATATACTTGAGCAATTGTGCCATAAGCCATACATATGTATGATTTAATTAATGAGTCAGATGTACCCAGATATAAAGGATATTGTAAATTACTTTAAAACTGTCAGTAAATTGTTTTGAGTCATTAAAATATTTTTGAGAAAGATAAGTGGTAAAATAAAAGAAGAAAGGATGAATATATGACTTTCATGAAGTTAAGAATGGCTGAAATCAAAAGAACATTGTATTTTGCAAATATTTTTATGTGGGTGCAGGGATTAGTACTGAGAGTTAAAAGCATGCTGACTGGAACACATAAAACTACCAAATTTAGAGTTGGAGGACTCCCCCACTTAGCAATCATTTAATCCATTCTGCACCCTCATTTGCTGCAGAGGTAAGGTCCTTCCATGTCAGGATGAACGTATTCAACTCCTTTTATGTTCAGGCAGTGGTTTTCAAAGTGATTCTTGGCACAGCAGCATCTTGTGGGAACTTGTCAGAAATATAATTATTGGGATCCACACAAAACAATAAACCAGAAAGAAACTCTAAGGATGGGACCCAACAATCTGTATGCCACAGGCACTCATCTAATATGTGTGGAAGTTTGAGAACTACTGTGTTAAGAGCAAGGGTAGGTAATAATTAGGTGTGTGTTGAAGTCCAACATGGTTTATGACCATTTGGAAATCTTAAAGGGGAAAAGTAAGAAGGCTAACTTTATTTTCCTGATGGAAGGATTTTGCTTACAAGGTGGTATTCTAATCTATAAAGGTTTATCATAAATTTGGCTCTACCATAGTGTTCAGCAGTGTAACATTGGACAAATCACAAAACCTGGACTTCAGTTACCTGGGTTTTCTAGATCTCTTCCATCTATATTTCATAATTTGTTGTATGTCACCACTTTTTGTTTGGGGTTGGGGAATGTTGATTAACTTATTATTGACATCTGAAGTTTGGGAGAGAAGTGAATATTTTGTGAGAAATTTTTAAACTCTGTCAGTGCTACTACATTTCAAACAAGGATAAACTAGCCCCACTTCTGTTTTTTACACCTCTGTCTCAGAAAACCTCTGCTGTTAAAGCTTATTATAATTGTTTTTAAGGTTAAAATACTATAGCATCTAAATGTTGAGGTCTTTCTCCTAAAAAGCAAATTGATCTGTATCTACTAGTCCTCCTAACCTAATTTTGTAGATAAGTAGCCTCCAGATTAGTTTTTTTAAAATATTTTTTTAGTTGTAGATGAATACACAGTATCTTTATGTGGTGCTGAGGATCGAACCCAGTGCTTCACACATGCGAGGCAGGCGTTTTACCTCTGAGCTACAGCCTTAGTCCCCAGATTAAATTTTTTTATAAAATTGGTTGTATAGAATGTCATTCATTAAAGTACATTTAAAGCTTTTAAATTGGCAAACCTGGAACAATAACATTTTTAACGCCTCTTCAGAAGAAGCCCTCAGATGTATCTAGACTTATTGTATATACTTAAAAAATAATTTAGTGCTCACGTCACACGTTCGAGATCCTGGTTTTGATCCTCAGCACCATATAAAAATAAATAAGTCAAATTTATTGTGTCCAACTATAACTAAAATATTATTTTAAAAAATAATTTAGAGCAATCACCTCAAATAATTTACAGTAGTCCTCTACCTTTGTCCATGGGGATATATTTCGAGACTCCCAGTGGATGGCTGAAACTGTGGTATTACCAAGCCCTTGTATGTAGCATACTTTTTCCTGTAGATACCTATGATAAAGTTTAGTTTTAAATTGGGCACAGGAAGAGATTAACAGTAACCAATGATATACCAAGAGTTAAAAGCTGTAAATAATAGCAATATATTTTAATAATAGCAATATATATATAGATAATAGCAATATATTATAATAAAAAGTGCATGAATGAATACAGCTGCTACACTGTACTTGCCTTTCTTATGATGTGAGATTATACAATGTCTCTAAAGAGATCAAAAGTGGGGTTGGGGATGTGGCTCAAGCGGTAGCGCGCTTGCCTGGCATGCGTGCGGCCCGGGTTCGATCCTCAGCACCACATACCAACAAAGATGTTGTGTCCGCCGAGAACTAGAAAATAAATATTAAAAATTCTCTCTCTCTCCCCTCTCTCCTCTCTCACTCTCTTTTAAAAAAAAAATCAAAAGTGAATAGTGGTGGGGTTGTGATACAAATGGCATTAGGTTACTGTGTAAGGGGTACTTGATTACAAGCAGTATTGCCATAGTTGTTCTGATACAAGATGTGTCTACTGAGTGACTAATGGGTGGGTGGCATATGCTCTTTGGACACACTGGACAAAGGGATGAGTTAAATATCAGGCAAGACAGAAAGGGACAGGGCAAGATTTTGTCACACTTAGGAACAGTGTGCAATGTAAAATGTGAATTTTTTTTCTGGAATTTTTCATTTAATGTTTTCAGACCACAGTTGACAGGCAGGCTCTTTACCACTGGTGGAGGATTACTGTAAATGTTTTCAGACCACAGTTGACCACAGACAACTGAAACCATGGAGAGCAAAACCTTGAGTAAGGGAGAACTTCTACAGCTCATTTCATTGCATTATCAATAGAATAATTGGATGGCCTTTCTGGATTAGAGTGCTAACCTAGTTCCTTCTCAAACCTTTTATCTGGCATGATCAAAAATATTTTGAATCAACCACAAAGTGATATAGTCCCAGTTAGGAGAATGAAGTAAGAGCAACATAGCAAAATTCCCTCTCAAAATTTTTTCCTCTGATTTTTAACCATACCACCCCATTTCTACACCTGCCTCAACAATTTAATAAGTATTGGTTTTCTGTTAGGTCAGGAACAGTATATTGAAGATATTGAGGGCTGGGATTGTGGCTCAGAGGTAGAGCACTTGCATACCATGCAAGAGGCACTGGGTTCAATACTCAGCATCACATAAAAATAAAATAAAGATGTTGTGTCCACCTAGAAAATAAATATTTAAGAAGAAAATATTGAAATAGCACAAGGCCCTGGTTCAAGCCCTAGCACCACAAAAAAAGGAAAATATTGAAAAATAATATGTAGTGTATATATGCAACATATATAGCATGTACATAGCACACGGTGTTTGTTTACTGAATTCTCTTAAAAATTTTCCGATCTTTCTGCTTATACAGCACAGAGTCTAGAAATGCAGAGATAATGACTGCTGAATGTCAATTAGCAGCACTGGGCACCAAACCTCTGTGCTTATCATTGCCTCCTTTGAATCTGGGTGGTCAAGAAGACATAATACCGAAGCCCTGGGTGAATGGTAATATTTATTTTTTAAATAAAATCCGGTTGGCTTTTGATAATAGGGAGACATTTCCACTGAAAATAGACATAAAGAGAAAAATAGGAACAAGTATGGAATGTTAAGATTAAACTTATGTACCTTTTATTTAGTACTTTGATAAGACAGTTTCTGAAATATCTGTATTTGATACTGTAGTAAGAGTAAATTCACGAAATACCTAAAATATTCATATTTTAATTGTTAGCATTTGTCAAGTTTTTTTTCCCTGACAATTCATAATGCTAGGAACAAGCTTCCCTGAAGATGAATCTAGAAACTATCAAATTACTTTGTAGCCCACACCCAACTCTTCTAAAGACTTTTCCAGTGCTTCCTTCATGCTGCCTAGTTATTGTGGGCTATATAGCATAAAGCTTGCAGTAGTCATGTGTTTTATTTCAAAATCTTTCAGTTTTCATAATACAAATTACTGCAAAACTATGCAGCAAAACTTCATCTTGTTCCAGATTATATCTGGATGCTACTGAAGTTTAAAAAACTAAGTTTTTATTTTATCCTTAGAAAAGAATGTTTTAAAATGTCCTATTTTCCACTTTAAAATACTTCCATTATGGCATATGATGTCTGATATAATGGTCAGCTTGGGAACACCATAACAAAATACTAGAATGGTAGCTTAAACAATTGAAATGTATTTCTTAGAATTCTGGAAGGCTGGAAGTCCAAAAGTAGGGTTCCATACAGAATGATTTAGATCTTGAGTTAAGAAATTTCTAGACTCATATTTAAAATTATAGACTTACTATATGCTGCAAATAAGTTTCTTAAAAGCCTTTATAAATCTTTCTAAAGGAACAATACTGTCAAACCAGGTGCTGGTTTACTTTCTGGTAGAACTTTCTGGCTTGCAGAAGGTTGCTTTCTTGCTAAGACCACATATCCTTCTCTGAGTGTGTGCAAGGAGAGAAAGTGAGAGCTCTTTGCTCTTGTAAGGACCCCCACTCTTCTACCCTTGTGATTTAACTAACTTTAATTGCTTCTATAGAGGCCCTATCTCCAAATGTCTCATGGAGATTAGGGCTCTATAGTATGTAAATTTGGCATGAACCCAGTTGAGCCACAGCACCTGGTTTGACAGTATTCTCCTTTAGAAAGACTTATAAAGGCTTTTAAGAAACTTATCTGCAGCATATAGTAAGTCTATAATTTAAAATATGGGTCTGGAAATGCTTAAGGGAACTAAGATCTAAATCATTCTGTATTTCATAGTGATACACCTGGCAGCACAGTCTGTAAATTGTACATGAATATTCCAAAGTGAAACTTTAAAGCAAATAGCAGTGCTGATCTACCCCATTGTTATAAAGGGAACTCATAGTAACATATTAGTGTATGATGACATTCTAAATCATTTCTAGATTTCAGATTTCCAGGAAAACATTCTGTCCTAAGGCTGCAGAATCCTGATACTTGTGAAATATTTAAAAGGGATAAAAATGCAGGGGTAAGTCTTCCACTTTTGAAAAAACAGTAATTTTCTAAGTTATAACCCATACTTTGAACCTGTGTTTTTTTTCCCCCTTCCCCTTTTTTTGAGGGGGGTGTGGAATGGGAGGAAACTGGGGATTGAACTCAGGGCGGGGATGATCAACCACAAAGCCACATCCTCAGCCCTATTTTATATTTTAGAAATTAAGTCTACTGAGTTGCTTAGGCCCTTGCCATTGCTGAGACTGCCTTTACACTTGCAATCCTCCTGTCTCAGCCTTCCGAGCCTCTGGGATACAGGTGTGTGCCACCATGCCTGGTTCCCCTATCATTTTATTTATTTATTTGAGCATTGTACACTAAGGAAAACTGATTTCATATATATAACTCTTAAATTGGTTTTTCTGTGTTCTTAAGAATGTAAATTGTTTAGAGTTCTATATTTCCTTAGCAAATTAGCAAACAGCTTATCTTGATACTGTTGTTTGGGGTATATAATATTTCTGTTTTAGGAACTGGGAGTATAAGCTCAGGGTAGCATGTATGAGGGCTTGTGTTCAAGCCCCAGCACACAAAATATGTGTATTTTTGTTACTTCAAGTACTTTTTCACTTTACTTTGTTTTACAGTTAATACAGAAAGGGAATTTTTCTAATTTTCTAGGTGTTCCAGAAGCCCTTAGGGTTGATGATACCCCATAGATATTGCAAGTTTCATTTTAATACATTACGTGGCTGTGAGAGATTGCAATGCAAATTTGCTCATGTGCCTGAACAAGGGAATGAAAAGGTAATGCATAAAGTCTTTGAAGTAGAAATTGTGTTACTAACTAATATGTCATATATTTTAGTTTAGATTTTTATTCTCTTCTGATAGCATAGGTGAGCTTTGCCTATTTTTGTGGGTTTTTTATATAAATAAAACTTGATTTATATTTTATGTCTGGCTTTGGTTTTAAAAAATCTTCTCTTTTTAGGAGATGGGGTCTTGCTATTTTGCCCAGGTATTGACCTTGAACTCCTGGGCTCAAGCAATTCTGCCTCTGCTTTCCGAGTACTTTGGGTTTACAAGTGTGCCTTACCGTGCCTGGATTGCTTTAAGTTTTTGAGATACCTCTATATTTTTAGTTAACTGTAGGGGTTTCTTTTTCTTTACTATATAGTAAATATTCCGTTGTGTGAACATCAGTTTTGTGGATAAAATATCAATGTTGATGGGTAGTTGGGTGGTTTCCAGATTTGGGTATTATAGTAGTGATGCTATCAATATTCTGCATGGTTTTTGGTGAACTTATATACACTGATGGGTTGTACCTAAAACTGAAACTGCTGAGTCATAGGTCTTCAAATGTTCAGTCTTAGCTACTGAACAGGTTTCTAAAGTGGTTGTATCAGATTACTCTCACCAGCAATATCAGTTCTGGTTGTATCATATTCTTTCAATTCTTAGTATGATCAACCTTTAAATCTTAGCCATCTTGGTGAATGGGTAATGACTGATGCCCTCCCTGATGATCAATGAAGTGAGCATCTTTCAAAATGTTTTTGGACATTGGGATATACTCTTTGGAAGTACCCAAATATTTTGCCTATATCTTATGAAGTTTTTTTCTTATCAATCTACAAGAACTCTGGATATAGGTTCTTTTGTCAAATTGCAGATATCTTTAATCTAATTTGTCAGTTATTTTCTTTCATAGTGTTAACTTCTTATAACCTGTTGAAGACATCTTTGCCAAGATCATAAAGATGTGCTCCTAGCTGGGCACTGTGGCTCTCAACTATAATCCCAATGTCTTGGGAGGCTGAGGCAGGAGGATCGAGAGTTCAAAGCCAACCTCAGCAACTTAATGAGGCTCTAAGCAACTTGGCAAGACCCTGTCTCTAAATAAAATACAAAAAAAGGGCTGGGGATGTGGCTCAGTGGTTAAGTACCCCAGTACCCCCCCCCCAAAAAAAGTGTTCTTACGTTGTTATATTTTTGTTGTTGTTGTTTTTCTTTTTTGTTTTGTTTTTGGTTTTTTTTAATCTTTTTCATTTTTGTTTGGTATAGGAGTTGAGATACTTTTCCCAGGTGCATTTTCAGGTGACGTGGTACCAATTATTAAAGACTGTCCTTTCTCTACTGTAATCCAGTGTTGCCATGTCATAAGTCAGCTGATGATGTATGTATGAATGGGTCTCTTTCTAGGCTTTTTGTTCTAATAATCAGTCACTATATTTATCCTTACACCTGTAAATGGTTATCTTTTACATACTAAATAAGGATTTTGAAATCAATTCAATATACATTTCAAACTGTAAGTTGACCAAATAGCATTTTCTTTATTTCAGTGCTTTAAGCTCACTTAAAAATTTTGAAATAAGCAAACAATTGAAATTTTATAGTTCTTATGAAATATAAAAAGATAATTTTACATTTTTGTAACATTTGCAGGTTTGCATGGATGTATTTAGGAAATATATAAGTATCAATGAGCTGTGTTTGCTACAACGTGCAGGTAGGAGTCAGATGAAATTTATTAATATGGTCAGAAATTTATTAATATGGGTGTTTCACACATTGTGCTGTTGTATCTTATAGTTTGAAAATAAACTTTTAATACTAAGGTAAAGTATCCAGTTTTCATACTAAGAGTAGCTCTACTGGCCTTAGAAAGGATTAAAAGTAAATATGGTATTTTGATTTAAAAAATTATAATCCACATAAAACCATAACTCCCTTATCTACTAATATTTGTTTTCAGTAGTACTAGGGATGGAACCCAGGAGAATTTTACCACTGAGCTACATCTCAAGCTCTTCTTTTCTGTCTTGGGGCAGCATCTTGCTAAGTTGTCCAGGCTGACCTCCAATTTGCAATCCATCTGCTTTAGTGTCCCATGTTACTATGATTACAGGCATGTACCACCATGCCCAGCTTGTACTAATATTTTCATAACTTTTATTTACAGATGTAAGGTAGAAAAAAAGGTTTAAAGGCTAATTAACAATACCAGTCTAAAGGGATTCTTCAGAACCTGAATCTTCCCTCTTTATCCTTCTCTTTTTACACTTCCCTTTCTTATCAGTTCACTATCCCTAGTGAACTTTGTGCAGTTTTCTAAGCATGACAGGTTGTGTTAGAGCAGTGGCAGCACTGAATTACATCTGCTAAGGATGCCTCTCCTTCTATACCCTTTCCCATGGCAAAGACTTAGTTAGCTTTCAAACTTAGTCATAATAAATAGGATTACTTCCCCTATTAAGCCTTGTCTGATTCCACAATCCCATCCCACTTTGGGCCTCCATCTCCCTGTACTAAACTGTGAGATCCAAGAGGACAGGGACCATACTCTATTTATATTTGTCACCTGACACAGCAACTAAAGCCACATAGTATGGTGATAATAGTGTACTGCAGCTTCATATTCATCTACTTGAAATTTCCTACAGCTGAAACAGTCTGAGAAGCTTATTTTATTTTGCTGCCATTATCATTTCTCCAGGGTTAGAGAAAGCATTTAACAGACACAGGTAACAAAGACATACATAAAACTCTGTATGAGAATGTAGTCATTATGGGAATATACTTATCTGAGGGATGTAATAGCCAAAGACAAGCTACATGGGGTTAGATGTGGATGAATTCTGAAATTTCAGAAATTATTCTTTAACATGAGAAAGGGAAAAAAAGAGGGTGACATGAAAAAGATGTAAAACTCCCCAAAATGAAGTTTTGTATGAAGATTCACTATGGCCACAGGAGAAATATCTGAACTTAGTTTTAGAACAGTGAATTCAGAAAACAATAAGGGCCTATAGCAAAGAATAAATTAATATAGGAAGTTTTCAAGAACCTGTGGATATTCTTTATTATAAGAAGCTTAGATCAATGGAGTAGATAGCTTAGACCTGATGTTATATATAAAGGGGAGAATTTAGTGTATAGAAAGACCATAGGATTTCAGAAAAGATTTATTTAATAAATGATAAGATACCTGGATAGCAGCCTAGAAAGAAACTCTGAATACCATTCATGTAAGTCATTGACCTAGCTGCTCAGGCTCTCAAGAAAGGCCTTGGGGACCATTTTGATGTATAAAGGGAAATAATTCAGTGATGGGACTTCCTCCCATCATTGAACTGTGGGTCCTTGTTTATCAGTTTTGTTTGAATTTCCACATAGAATTCTTCCAGAAATTATTTTTAAATCTTTCAAATTTTTATTTAATTTCAAATTTATAGTTACAAAAATAAAAACAGTACAAAGAATATTCATATGAACTTACTTTGTCATTGTACTTGTTCTGTCCCCCAGCCCCGTGTGTGTGTGTGTGTGTGTGTGTGTGTGTGTGTGTGTGAGTGTGAGTGTGTGATACAACCCACTACTTGAAGGTAAGTTGCATTTATCATGGCACTTTACCACTAAGTACTTCAATGAATATTGCCTAAAAATACAATATCCTTTCATATAACCTTGGTATACTTGTCCATGTCCGTAAACTTAACATGGGCACAATAGTTTTATCTAATCTGTTTGTCATTTGACTCAACGTCATTTTTAGCAATTTTTTTCCTCAGTCTAGGACACAGAGTTTAGGATGGGTATTCATATAGTTGTCACATCGTTTTAGCCTTTTAATCTGCAGTATTTTCAGTCTTTGTGTGAGTGTGTGCTTACTCATGGGGAGGGGAGGTAGCAGGGCTGGGGATGTAGCTCAGTGGTAAAGCTTTTGCCTAGCATGCACAAGACCCTGGGTTCCATCCCAGTGCCAAAAACAAATACAAAAATAACAAGCATTTTTAAGTATATAGTTCACAAGCATTAAGTACATTCACAATGTTGTATAACCTTCACTACTATCAATTTCCAGAACTTTTTCATCATTCCAAACAGAAACTACCTATTAAATAGTAATTTTCTGTTGCTCCTACCCACTGCAATCCCTAGCAACCTCTACTCTGCTTTCTGTTTCTGTGAATTTGCCTATTCTAAGTACTTCATATAAGTGGAGTCATACAATATTCTTTTGTGATTGGCTTATTTCACTTAATGTCTTTAGGGTTCATCCATGTTATACATAATGTTTCAAATTTTCTTTTAAGGCTGAATATTATTCCATTATATGAATATCTGTTGCTTATCTGTTCATCTGTTGATGGACACTTGGATTGGACACTGGAATTGTTTCTATCTTTTGGCTATGCAGAGTAATGTTGCTGTGAGCCTGGATGTACAAATATCTGTTTTGAGTCTCTGCTTTTAGTTCTTTGGAGTATATACCTAGGAATGGAGTTACAGGTTCTCTCTTACGCTTTATATTTGAATTTCTATATAAAACTTTCTATCCAAAAGTTTTGGGCTAAAAACATTTGAAAGATTACAATTGTTTAGCATAAGCCAAAATGAATCAACATAATAGTAATTAGAAAAATTAAGTTATTTTGATCCATCTTGGGTAATCTCTGTGATTTATAATAGTCAAAGGAAGTACAAAAGATGAACTTTATCATACATAAATTTAAACCAAAACTAGATTTATCAATAATATGCGAAAATATTCGGGTTAGAATGAAATTTCAGTCAGCTGTTTACAAAGGCATAAACTCTTTTCTCTTGTGAGGAAACAGCTTTGGAAAGGAATATCCAGTAGTTACTAATACTATAAATTGTACCCTCAATCAAAAAAGGAGTATAAGTACCCAGTTCTGATAGATCATTGATCAAGTAATATACTGAATTGACTAAACATTTTTAAAAGCATTGTAGAAGTTCATATCAAAAGCCATAAAATGTCCAACTTTTCTTTTTCATCCCAATAGTTTCACGGGGATGATCATTTTAAAAAGAGAAATTCTATTAAAACTTCTTTTTTAAAAAAAATTCTTAACAATGACAGAAGAGTTAAATGGCAATTAGCAGACAATATAAACACTGTCTAATCTAGATTCTTTCCAATGACACTTTCTTAAAACATCTACAATACCAGTTTATAATTAACGAAATATAGTTGACACTCTGAATTTCCCATATTATCAGTTGATCTATTTTTATAAATAGCAAGAATTTATCTTGTATGTGCCCAGGAAAAACAATTGTATGTAAAGCACCTTTAAAACAAAGTTGAGTATTATTGCACATATTAAGGTTGTTAAAAATTAACTGTGCTACTGAATTTTGTCATTAGCTAGACTTTGTAATTCAGCTAATAAGTATTTCTGCTAGGAATAACTAACACAAATATAAAGCCAAAAGTAATTTTTACTAAAGCACTAACTAACATATACAGATTTTGGCCTGGGAATTTTGGAATGGGGGAAAAAGTGAATAATGCAGTTATCCCAGTTAATTTTAGTAAAATTAATGGGAACAAATTACAAATAGTTTGCATTGTATAGAAAATAGATTATGGAATTGGATGAATATAAAGGGACTACTTTCTCAAAGGAAACTAATGATTATGATTATGGGCAATTTACTAAAACTGACAATAAGCTGGAATCAGAAACATCACCAGGGTTAATATTATTGGGATTGAAACAACCAGAATGGGTATGTGTCAAAAATAGTCTTCACCCATCACCAAATTATACAATTTCTTATAATTATACAATTTCTTATCCAGGCCAGATAAAAGACTTAAGACTCCCTGGAAGCTCAATTCCCCGGGAGTTTATATTGACACCATGATATATTTGGCAGTTTAGACTTACTTGTGAATAATACATGAGTTAGTGCTCAATCTGATGCTGAACATGCTTGGTTGCCTTCATTACTGAACATGCCATTTTAACTTAATTTTCATCAGATGTTTCTGATACTAAAACTATGCTTTTCAAAGAAATTGACATACTACTTTAAGTATGGAGAGATTATCTGATTTAGGAAAACTGGATATCTTAAAAGCAATAGATGACTATATTTTTCTCGCTTTCAGTAAATATATTTATGGAATACTACAGAAAGTTTCCTCCAGGTATACATTTTGATTTACAAGTGCTGAATGATCTTCTAATTTCTTTACTCAAACATTGTTTACTGAAAGAAGTGTTTCAGGTAGTAAACCTCAGCATAATGATTAAAATGCTGGTAAGTAACTTGAAACTATATATTTTAATATTCTAATTGCTTTGTTGTTTGAAATTAGAAGTTAAATGTTTTTTTAATATTCCCTAGAAAAAACTTGTGTTTTTTTAGCATAAACGAATTTGAGAAACTGAAGGTGTGCTGAAAGACAATATGAAAATGAATGTAATTTTTTGTTTTATCCAGCCTGCTCTGAAAGTATTACTAAAAATATTTGAGCATGTGGCAACTTTGAAATTAAGGACTGCTGTACCTGCTTTAGTTGATATCTTTTGCAAGGTATGATTTTTATTTTCTTTATTCTCTAATAGTGAATAACCAAGAAAATGCTTATTTCCACACGTACCCTTGATCTGCCTCTTATTCATTTTCTTCATGCCAAAGAATTCTGCTTTCAGAAATGTTCTTTTTCTCCTAAAATAGTTTATAAACAGACTCCAGCGGGTGACAAGCTTCCCCTCAAATATTTCAAGCACACCAAGTGACTGCTGATTTATAAAATCTTCGTTTCTACTCTTTAAGTATAGTTAAAGAAAATTCTTTCTCTGAAACATTTGAGGTCATTTATAACTAAATTTGTATGTAAAATAAAACATTGTGACCAAAATAGAAGCACAGTAGCTAAGAATTAAATCTGGCCCTAAACAAAAAGTGAAATAGGAATTTTTATGGTTCTCATAAAAATATAAAAATTATAACTTTTGTCTTGTCCTAACATTGTTTAGTGCTACTTATCCATCCACTTCAGAATAACTAATAAATATTTGAGTGAATACCTTTTTTTTAATAAAGACTGGTTGTTGAGTAAATATTTTATACCCCATTACAAAATTTGAAAGAATTACTTGAGTGGAGATTTTTCAAATCAAAAATTGCTTATCCTCTGTAGTAATTATAGAAAACCTCATTAAGGACCTCACAAACTCTACTACTGAATAACTTGGCTTTCTGCAAAATGTATCCCCATTACTGTCCAAATAAAATTGGCCTTACTGAAAGTATTTAACAAGGACAATGACATTCCATTTTTGCATGTTTAACATGGAGCCATCATTTCTAAAAGTTGTTTAATGCTAGTTCCAACTTCCCTGTTGAGACTTTCGGGGTTCAGTGATAAAGCCATATAATTAATGGAAGAGATGCTTTTCCACCTTATCACTCTAGCAGTGCACAATACCCCTATCTCATTAACATGACTACCATGGAGAAGAGAGAAATCAAGAGCTTTTTTTTGTATTGCTTTGGGTTCCTGACTTACCAAGGAACAATTTATGAGCTGGGGTTGTGGCTCAGTGGTAGAAACCTCACCTAGCATATGAGACGCCCTGGGTTCGATCCTCAGCACCACATAAAAATAAATAAATAAAGGTATTGGTTCAAACGTAACTAAAAAGTAAATGTTTAAAAAAAAAACAATTTATATTCACCCTGGTTTTAGAGCAGTATTAAAGGGCATATTTTTTAAAGTGTATTGGTAACCAGGTAGCCAATTTGTTCTTTGTCAGGCTTGTTTGTAATTGGCCCTGTCCATCTTATCAAAAGGTGCTGCATCATCAGTAAACACAGACCAGCAGGAGTTCTCCTTTCAGTTCAGTCCATGAGAGCCTGGAGTACATAAGGAAGATAGGAAATGAGGCATACATGAATGAAAAAATGTTAAAATTCTTTTTTTGAGTCAAATACTATATTACATATTCCCTGAGTTTTCACCTGATCTTTTTTACTGTTATGTCACCTGAACATTGGAGTCACATGGGGTATTTTTTTTTTTCCTCCTGTGGCTGAGGCCCTAAATGAGGCTTGGGAAGAATATTTCTCAAGAAGGTACAGCTAGGAATGATGTACGAACACTAGTGCTACACTAAAGGATCAAGTAGCAAATAAGAGGTAGAGGTTGATAAATGTCTGAAATGACTTGGAGAACAGGAAGAAAATTCATTTTTTATATTCTTACTTTTGCTTTAAATTCTTAGAGTATCCTTCTGTGATTCTGAAGTGTTTGAAGAAAACACCTTTCAAGTTTTTTAAATGACTTTTAATTCCACTTGTCTCCACATTTCACTTCTTCTGTTAGTCTCTTCATTGTTTCACTCATATTGGCTTCCCAGTTCTTTCACAATCTTATGACTACTTCTTTTCCTCTTCTACAGCTTGTTGAAGCTGGAATGATGCTTGACCCAGAGCACTTTAACTATATTGTTAAGCTTTTATATCAAGTACAGGCTTCCAAACAAGAAATAACTGCAGTTCTGGAAATCAAATCCAGGTGAGAAAAATCATAATTAAAGCTAATACATCTATTTTGGTGGAGACCTATAAAGGATGTAGGCAAAGCACTTCTGACTGTTCATGTGCCTTGATATCTGGATTGTTGCCCATCATAAGCCTTTCTTCCATGTCTTGACTGGTCCTATCTGTCAGTCTGCTTCTGCTCAGCCTTGCCATATCTTTCTCAGATCCTCATCTTGTTTTATCATTTAAATTTGCTTCATACAGCTCATATAGATTTCCTTAATTTTTTTATTCCTGTCATATTTAATAAAATACCTTAATGCCTCTTTATTTTCTTATTCAGTTTATGAATTTCCAAAAGGCCTTTTAAAAAAAAAATTTCTGATACTTATGAGTAATACCATGTACCTGATTTGAGAAAAAGGAAAGCTGTGACTTTTCATACTTTTTTCAATTAAAGTATAACATACATAGAAAACATACAAATTACAAGTATTTAAATGAACCATAACTTCAAAGATGAATTTAGCTTTGATATAAAAGCAAATGGCATCAGCCCCTGCGGTTATTCAGAATTTTCAGAAATTACCAATAGATTCCATGGCTATTTCTGTCTCCATTCTCTTCTAATGCAGAAATTCCCAGACTTTCTGGGTTCACAGCATCTCAAGGTCAAACGAAATGCATTAGTAGTGCCATTTATTAAATAGTTAGGTCCAAAGAAGTTAACAGCATTTGTGCAAGGTCTGACAAAATGTCACTTGAAAATGTGAAAATGTCAAAGAGCTTGTGGTACCCCTATGAGTTTTCTGTAGTGCCATCTGTGCCTTGGTGCAATTAGAGAAGTACAGCTCAAAGTAATACTACTTCTCTTCAAGGACCAGTATTGAAGTTAATTTGAGTTCTTTGAATTCTTTAGCTACTGATAGTTACAATTTTCATAGAAACAAATAGTATTAAACGCTATTTTGGTTAAATAGATTCTTAGGGCTTTTCATGAGGAAAATTACTGTTCATTTAGCATACACTTCTGGGATACAATTATTTATAAACTGGGTACATTGATATAGTAACATTAAGGATGTTCTTTCTAAAAACTTTACCCGTTTGGGGGCAGCAGTTACTATGGTAAAGAGATCAGGTGTCTAGCAAATTTTAGTCTACCACTAGATTAGCTGCTGGCATAGGGAAAATATACACACCAGGGCTCGAGAGTGGCACTATCTTTATGCCCTGGGCAGCTGCAGAACTCTTTTTACAAGTAATTGAGAATAGGATCTGTTGGTATAGGAAGACTCCAGAACAAACCAGCTTTTAACTTTCAAAATAATACAATCATGCAGTTACTCTTACAGTTTCTTTTACATCCTCTTCTTGTATTCCCACTTGGAAGAGTTATTAACATTGGTAAACTGTTTGAGGAATTCTAAGAAAGCAGAGAAATAATTGTATGCAGTTAAGGGATGTGGATTGTGGTTAGGCATATGGACCTAACCCCAACACAAAGGGAAAAATTATATATTTTACTTGAATTTCCTAATTCTTTTTGAAATGCTTTCTTTCCTGGCTTGGGAAATGACTTTTAATGGATATTCATTCTTCATATTTTAATTACAGTTCATTTGAAAGGCTTTTACAGCCTATATGGCTGTCACAAAGAATTTTGGCATTTATATACAGATTATTAGAATGTAAGTTTGCCTATAAATCTAGGAAATTATTATATATATATTCAGTGATTTATTTTAAAACACGTAAAGTTAATATTGATTTGATAGACTTATATCTGCCATTTTACTGTTTTTTTTTGTTTGTTCTTTCTCTTTCCTTCCTATAGGAGTCACCAGAGCAATCTTTAGAATTTTATTATTACCTATACTGTTTTTAAGTCTTTTTATATAGGTTTTTATTAGTAATTCTAGTGCCCTTACCTTTTGACCCAGTGTTCCCAAATCTAGAAACAAACCCTGAAAATTTCAGTATAAAAATAAATATACCAAAGATTATTCATTGCAGCTTTACTTTCAATTTCATGATACTGGGGACATGAGTTAAATAAGCTAGATATCCACACAGTGGAGTATACTTGGAACTGAGTCAGTGATACCCAGGGAATACTGTTGGTTAAAATGTTCTAAATTTGACAGTTATTGGCAGGATGTACATAAAAACATGGCTACATTTCCTCTAAGAAATTCCTTTTCAGTGTAAGGACATAAAGGATGGAAAACAACATGCCATACAAACAAGTTTTAAAGAGTAAGACTCACTGTATTTATTATCAGACCTTAGAGCAAAGGGACAAAAGGAATTATAAAATGGCCAGTACACCAAGAAAATATTGGTGTGTGCACATACAGGACTCCTAACAGTTTCAAAATACATGAGGTGAGGTGATAGAAATGGAGAAATAGACAAAAGTACCCAACTATAATTATAGTTCATCAATACCTGAGAAAGGGATGTCAAAGTACTAAGAATCGGCAAGGGTCTAAAATAGTACCAACAATCAAGGATCTAATAGGCATTTATAGACCATTCTACTCCAAAGCAACAGAATACATATTCTCTTTTTTAAGTACCCTTGGAATATTCACCAAAGTGAATCATATCCTGAATAATAAGCCTTAAATTTCTTAGAGTGTATGATCTGTACTTACAATTTTTTTTTCACCATAATGAAATCAAGGTGGAAATCAAAATGGAAAAATAACAGGAAAATCTCCCAACAGAAATAAAATAACATACTTACTTCTATATAGTCCATAGGTGAAAAGGAAATCTTAAAACTGAGCTAAATAAAAAAATAGAGTATCACAGTTTGGGGGATATAGTTAAAGCAGCACTGAGAGGAAAATCTACAATAAATATTCTAAGCTCATGGGACGTACTCAAACTAAAAAGTTTTTTCTCAGCAAGAGAATAAGAGGGGTAAATAGAAAGCCTACATCCTGGGAACAAATTTTTACCCCTCACACTTCAGATAGAGCCCTAATCTCCGGAGTATACAAAGAACTCAAAAAATTAATAAGAAAACAAATAATCCAATCTTCAAATGGGTCAAGGATCTGAACAGACACTTCTCAGAGAAGGATATACAATCAACAAGTACACGAAAAAATGCTCACCATCTCTAGCAATCAGAAAAATGCAAATTAAAACCACTCTAAGATACCATATCACTCCAGTAAGAATGGCAGCCATTATGAAGTCAAACAAGTGCTGGTGAGGATGTGGGGAAAAGGGTACACTTGTACATTGCTGGTGGGACTGCAAATTGGGGTGGCCAATTTGGAAAGCAGTATGGGGATTCCTCGGAAAGCTGGGAATGGAACCACCATTTGACCCAGTTATTCCCCTTCTCGGACTATTCCCAAAAGACCTAAAAAGAGCATACTACAGGGATACAGGTACATCAGTGTTCATAGCAGCACAATTCACAATAGCTAGACTGTGGAACCAACCTAGATGCCCCTCAATAGATGAATTAATAAAAGAAATGTGGTATTTATACCCAATGGAATATTACTCAGCACTAAAAAATAGCAAAATCATGGCATTTGCAGGGAAATGGATGGTATTCGAGCAGATTATGCTAAGTGAAGTTAGCCAATCCCTAAAAAACATGCAGAATGTCTTCTTTGATGTAGGGGGGGCGGCGACTCAAAACGGAGCAGAAAGGAAGAGCATGAGAAGAATACCATTAAACAGGAACGAGAGGTGGGAGGGAATGGGAGAGAGAAGGGGAAATGCTCAGAAGATGGAAGGAGATCCTCGTTGTTATACAAAATTACATATAAGAGGATGTGAGAAGGAAGGGAAAAAATGAGTTACAGTAGATGGGGTAGACAGAGATGATGGGAGGGAGGGGGAATAGGAAGGGCAGCAGAATACAACAGACACTAGTATGGCAGTATGTATAAACGTGACTGTATAACCAATGTGATCCTGCAATCTGTACATGTGGGGGAAAATAAGAATTCATACCCCATTTGAATCAAATGTATGATATATGTCAAGATCATTGTAATGTTTTGAGCAACTAATTAAAAAAAGCAAAATAAACTTAAAACATAAGCAAGGACAAAATCTGGAATTGAATCTGAAAGTGATAAAAATCAATGAAACAAAAAAACTGTTTCTTTGAAGATTAAAGAAATTGGTAAACCTCTAACAAGACTAAAAGTAGACATTATCAGCATCAGAAATCAGCCCGCCCTTTGTCAGTACAGATCCTGCAGCCATTAAAAGGATTGCTTTGAAAACTTCAACATAATAAACAGCAACATAGATATGTGGAGCAATTTTTCAAAAACCACATGGTACTGAAATGTACCCCATCTGAACTATCATCAAGGTAGTTTTATAACTACTGAAGAAATTTATATTTTAAAAGCTGCTGGAGAAGATATCCAAAGGGCCAGAGAATTCTATCAGTTAAAGAAGAGTCAACATGAATTTATACATCCCCCCCAAAAAAATACCAGCATATTTTTGAAGCCAGTGTTACCCAGATAACACAACAAGAGTATGAAGGAGAGAGTGGAATGAATCTCTCTCATGAGCTTACATGCAAAAATTCTCAGAAAAAAATAACACATCAAATGCAGAAATACAAAAGAATTAAACAATATATAAATAAGGTATTCTAATACTGCAAAGATAGTTTAATATATCAACAGCAGCATGAAAAAAGTCATGTTAATACAGAAAAGCGTTTGACAAAATTCATCTGTGCTTGACCAAAAATACTTAGCAAAATTAGGAATAAAGGAATTTCTTGATAAAGGACATCTGAAGAGATCTGAAGCAGACATAACTTAGAAGAAAAGCATCCAATCTTTCAACTAAGACTGGGAACAAGACAGGATGCCTGCTCATACCACTCTTGCATAGTAAAGCAAGAGTCAGAACAAAAGGCATACTGATTGGAAGTGAAGAAATAAAGCTTCATATTTGTAGTTGGCATTATAGTTTCTATATATATATATATGCCAAGAACTCTTCAAAAACAATCCTGAGACTTAACAAGGACAGCAAGATTGCAAAATAAAGATCAGCTCACAAAATCAGACATGTTTCTATATAATAGCAATGAACTGGGGAAATAAAAATTTAAAATGGCATCGTTTATTGATGGCTCCTAAAAATGAAATATCTGTAGGTAAGAATCTAATAGAACACATACTGGACTTCTATGCTGGAAATTAGAAAATGTTGATGAAAGAGACCAGAAGAGATTAAACAGACATACTATGCTTACGAAGTATAAGACTGAACATAATAAAAATGTCATTTCTACAAAATTTCATCCATTTGTTTAATGCAATTCCTTTTGGAATCATAGCAGGATTTTTCTAAAGTGTATATGCAAAGCTAAAAGAACTAGAGTAGCTGGAACAACTTTTGGAAGAGAATTCTGAAGTGAGTATTCACTCGACCTGATTAAAACTTACTGTATGACTACAATAATGAACACAGTGTGGTTTGAGTAGAATTAGTTTGAAATTTTTCTGTTTATAACTTTGAAGACCATTTTTACACATTTTGTGTGGTTTGTCTGCTCTCCCCCCCCTTTTTTTATTGGGTTATTCCTTAAAGAATTTAACAAATATTAGGCCCTTGTCTATAGCATACATTGCCATTTTTTTTCCAGTTTGTCAGTTGTCTTTTGACTTTGGTGGTTTTTGCCATGCCATTGCAAAAACTCCTATTTTTATACAACCAAATATATCCTTTTTAAAAATTGCCCCAATTTTGAGTCAAGATAATTTTTGTTGCTTCTGTATATCAAATCATAATTTCCCTACCCCAGGGTTTTAGAGGAACTCAAACATGTTTTTTTCTATTGTGATGTCATTTTTAAAGTTAGATTTCTTATCTATTTAGAGTTTGTGTATTGTGAGATACCTAATTTTATCATTTTAAATGGTCATTCAACTTTTCCAGTAATGTTTATTTTTAAAAAAAATTTTATTTCCAGTAACTTGAGGTACCACTTTTATCATGTGCTAAATTGAACATGTATTTGGGTCTGTTTCTATACTTTATTATATTCCACTGGACTGTTTGTCCATGCCCTAGTACTACATTATTTTAATTACAGAGGCTTTAATAGTTTTAGTAGCGATAATTCTTTCATTATTTTACTTTTCCAGTGTTTTCCTGGCTCTTCCTATATTTATATTTTTCTATGTATTTATTTCCTACTTCCTAATTTATAGTAGCTTGTTGGTATTTTTATCCTAATTGTATTAAATTTATGAATGAACTTGGGAAAACTGACATCTGAGCAATTATATCATATTCAAGAATAGGAATTGTTTTCAGAATGTTAGCTTTGCGTTACTGTGACAAATACCTGAGAAAAATATTTTAAAGAAGGAAATATTAGTTTGGGCTCATGTTATCAGAGGTTTTCATTTGTGGTCTGCCAGCTCCATTGCTTTGGGTCTAAGGTGAGGCAGAACATCATAGTGGAAGGGAAAGGTAAAGGGAAGATGCTCAGTTCATGACATCTGGGAAGAAGAGGGTGGGGAAGGGACTGGATAAAATATAAACCCTTCTAGTGACTGACTTCCTCCAACTCAGTCCATTAGTCTGTTCACCTATGAATGGACTGAACCACTGATGAAGTCAGAGCCCTGATGATCCAGTTACTTCTTGAAAGCCCCACTCTGAACACATGAGCCTTTGGGAAACATTCCAAATCCAAACCATAACATCCAAATTTTGTATCTTTCAGGAGTGCTTTATAATTTTCCTCATGTATGTATTTTAATATTTTTGGTGCTATAAGTGAAATTTTCTGTAAATCCTTTTTTTTTTTTTTTGGTGGAAAAGGTACTGATTTTTGTTTGCAAATTTTATATTCTGTTTTACTCTGAGGTTAGAGTTGGTTTTATTCTGGAATCTGAGATTTACCAGGTATACAATCGTATCATCTGCAAATAGAGATAATTTGACTTGTTAACCATTAAGCCTTGAAGTGATTCATTTGATTGCATTGGCTCATCCCTTTAGTACAGATTGAATAATAGTGGATAGAGTTGATATCCTTGCATTGTTCCTGATTTTGGTGGAAATGCCTTTAGAATTCTTATTAAACATGACACTGGCTTCCAGACTAAGGTACATATATTTAATTTTTTTTTAAATACCAGAGATTGAACCCAGCTGCACAGCCGCTGAGCCACATCCCCAGCCCATTTTTATTTGTTTGAGACAGGGTCTTGGTAAGTTGCTGAGGCTGGGTTTGAAATTGTAATTCTCCTGCCTCAGCCTCCAGAGCTGCTGAGATTGTAGGCATACGCCACCATACCCTGCTATGTTTAATGATTTTGAAGAAGCATTCCTCAATTTCCTGCATTCTTAAGTGTTTTTGTCATAAATTGTCAAATTTTTTCAAAGGCTTTTTCAGTACTTATGGAGTTAATCATGATTTTTCTTTGTCTTTTACTATTGTATGTGATACTTATGGATTTTCTAAGGTTGCATTTAGAAAATTCCCTTCTGTCTTAGTGTATTATTTTCTTAATGTGGGCTTGAAATCTCATCAACATTTTATTTCCTCTCATGATCTTTTTTTGTTTCGTTTTGGTATGAGCTATATCACTAGCCATTCTTATTTTACATTTTGAAATAGGGGCTTGCCAAATTCCTGAGTCTACTCTCAAAACTTGTTATCCTCTTGCCTCAGCCTCTCAAGTCACTAATATTACAGGTGTGTGCTTCCATGCTTGGCTATGATTGATACTGTTTTTTAGAATTGTTTGTTTGTTTTTCTGTCTGTTGAATTGGTTGACTTTTGTTTATTTATTTTTAATAAATAAGATATTTATTTATTATATTATACTGAGGATCAAACCCAGTGCCTCACACATGCTAGGCAAGCGCTGTACCACTGAGCCACAACCCCAGCCTTTATCTGTTGAATTTGGATGTAAGTGTTATGCTTGCTTCCTAAAAGTAACTGGGAAGTTGTTCCTTTTTAACACTCTGGATAATTCATATAATAATAATAATTCATAGAGCATTAGGACTAATTATGAAAATAAACCCCAAAGTTGGGTATTCTACAGAACTCCTCTTTCTTCTTTTCAGTTGCCAAAGGTTGCTTATTTTTCTTTCCCAAAAACTATGCTATTTCAAAAGTTTGCTTTCTTTAAAATCACACCGAATTTTAGGTTCTTTCCCTGTGTGGTCTGTGTTCTCATCTACTCAGGTGCTTTTGTTTTGTTTTCATTTGCATGACTTAGTATGGATTTAGTCTTGGCCTTCATTTTTGGTGGAGGGGGGTGTGTCAGTATAGGGAGCACTTAACCACTGAGCTACATCCTCAGCCCTTTGATTGTTGAGATAGGATCACACGAAGTTGCTTAGGGCCTCACTAAATTGCCTATGCTAGCCTCAAACTTGCAATCTTCCTGCCTCAGCCTCCCAAGTCCCTGGGATTACAGGCATGTGCCACTATGATGTTGGTATTTTTTAATCAATATCAGGACCTTCTAGTACATCTTTTCTCATTTCTTCCTCCAGGTTTTGTTTGCTTCCTTTGTTTTTCCTTTGATCTGTCTTTGCTTGCCACAGATCCTTATTGAGCAGTGAGGGCAAGGTAGGAGCAAAAGAGATCATGTGCTGGGAGTTGGTCTTTTTTTTTTTTTTTCTGTTTTTATTCAGTTATTTTGAAGTGTGGGCATTCTGGTAGGCTGAAAATACAGTTTCACATGAAATTTATTTTTTCCTTCATATTGTTGTCTATGGTTTAAGGAGTTGTCCTTTTATTCAACTCTAAATATTTTTATGACAAACTTTATGCATTCATTTTTCTCATCTATCTTAGGCATAAACTATGAATAATTAGCAATAGTGACTTTTGGGGGGGTGAACGTAAGTATAATTAACCTTTTTCTATTAAAGGTTACAGAAGAGGCAATTTAAAAAGAACTGGAAGTATGATTTAGATTCAGCCTTGAATGAAATAGAGGTATGACATTTTTATATTTTCATTTATTTTACTTTTTTTTTTTTCCAGTACTGGGATTGAACCCAGGGCCTCACACATGCTAGGCAAATACTGTACCACTGAGCTGCATCCCCAGCCCTGTAACATTTATTTTTAAAATAAATTGCTGGGATCTCTGAAAATCAGTAACAACAAAAAATGTTGGAATAAACCCCACTTTAGGAAGTTTTAGAAATGTGGCTATTGGAGAAAATCTTCAAGGAAGAGAACTTTGATTTTGTTTATACAAGTTAATATTTTGAAATTGCAGACATTCTAATTTATTGAGTTGTGAACTATTCTAAAAATATTCAGTTGCAAAATTATGTTAAGGTAAAATAATAATCCAAGTTTAGTCTTTAATTTTTGTGGCTAAGCAGACTCATGCTGTCATAGATGGCTATAGTATATGAAATGACAAGAGTAATTTAGGATCATACTGAGCTCTCCAAGAGTGTGGAAAATAAAAAGTAGAGGACTTTCAGGATGATCTTACTTTTTAATATCAGTTTTCTGTTCCTCTAGTAATTATTAGTATACTCTTCATTAGTATCTTTACATCCATAAAGCAACTTTTTTGATTTGGAAAATTACTTCTGATTTTATAACAATAGTAGGAATATAGTAAATTTACTAAAATTTGATTTGTAACCCCTTTTGTAGAACTGTATCCCAAAATGATATGTAGGCCCCAAGTTATAAATGGCTAAGTAATAGTAAAATGCAGTCTCTAAAAGTAATAAAATTACATATTACTGTGGAGATGATTTACATCATGCTAGTCACCATCTGCTTTATATAAAACTCATCTCTCCACTGCCCAGTTTAGGTTTGGGAATAATATTATTAAGTTCCTTAAGAACTAGGTGATTAAAACATATGTATGGGGCTGGAGATGTGGCTCAAGCGGTAGCGCACTCGCCTGGCATGCGTGCGGCCCAGGTTCGATCTTCAGCACCACATACAAACAAAGATATTGTGTCCACCGAATACTAAAAAATAAATATTAAAATAAAATTCTCTCTCTCTCCATCTCTCTCACTCTCTCTTTAAAAAAAAAAATGTATGTTGCTATCTGGAAGGCATGGAGGCTTTTCAGTAGTCAGAAAAGTAAAGCTATGATCAGTTACATTAGAATCTCTGGGGGTGACTTCTGGGCATTAGGTTTTGTTTTGTTTTTGTTTTTTATTTGTCCAGATGATAGTGATGAGAATTGAAAATGCCCCTGTAAAGCAAGCAATGCCAATAACTGTGGATATATTTAAAAAGCACTCAGTAGATAATTTGATAACTGATAGCATAAGACCCTTACTGTTTCTCCATTTCTAAAAATGTATGTTTTGGACAGCTTGGAGAATGAGATAGGAAATCATTAAGATGAAAAACTATGAAGGCTTTTCTCAAAGCTAAAACCATTTCAAGATTTAAACATACTCTAGGCTATGGTCTCCTCAGAATCTAACCTTCCCTCTAAATATCTGTTTTTGGGAAAATAATTCTTTGTTGCTATTTGAATTATATTTTCTCGAAAGTCATAAGAAAAAAATGGCTTGACTCTGGATGTATGTTTTTCAAGGAATAGAAATATCCCTTATATAGAAATATCCCTTGATTTGGATTTTGCTCCTATATGAGATTAGATTGATGATTTCTTCAATACCAGGGTGTGTCAGGTCTCCTCAGAATAGCCTTTCTCAAAAAAAGGGGTCTAAATGGCCATGCAGATTCATATTGATTGTTAGATTTCAGTTCTCTTAAAGCCATGTCTCCCTTCAGATGCGTTCTGTCACACACCTGCTAGCCTTATCTGTTGTTCCCTTGTTGGTTCTCTCCCCACTGAATGACTGCATCTTTTGTGAGATGTTTTTATCAGGAAGGATCTCTCCCTGGGGACTCTGGCAGTATTAGGCTAACATTCTCCTTAGAGCTAGTCACCAGTCATCATGGCCATTGGATGGAATGCTCTGATTACTTAGGTCTGGATCGATCGTGAATCTACCCTAGATGAGAATAGTCAATACATTCAAATCATGGGGATTAAGACCTGCTTGAGGGGAGAGTAATTGAGATATTGTGCTCAAGGAAAGAAACATGTAGAGTAGGTAAAAACAAAAGGGATGAGTAAAATCTCAGAGTTTCCCCATTTTCCATTTCCGTAAACCTCATCAAGGTCATAATCTTTAGGAATGATTCATGGATTGCTCTTTTTCCCTACTCTCCACACACAGATATGTGCAGAGGCAGAGCTGGGCAGCTTGAGGAAGCCTTGGAGGTTACAAGGGGGTGGAGGTCAAACCTAAAATAAAGGTGTATTTGTGACATTCCTGGCAGGCAGGACCATCTACCTTGTTTCTCATCCCGGTGCTCTATTTCTTTCCTCTATTTTACTGACTTTGATAAATAAATAAATGTATGAATAATTGAACATGTGTCTGGGACCACATTATTTATTCCCTACATATTCATGTAGCCTTCCTTCTCTAAGGAGCAAATTTTCGAAATATAAGAGCTAAAGAACTGAGAACTATCAGCTCAAGATCCAGAGAAAACAAAACAGGGGTTTTGAAAAATGTGCTTAATGAGTTAATTTACAAAAGCCTGAAACAGTTTTAAAATGCTCATTTGAAAAAGTGAAGTTTCGATAGTTCACTCGGGAAGTCATCTAACACTCCTGATCAAGTTTTTGGCACAAGTTTTATTCACAGGGCTATTTATAACAGAAAATTGTAAATAACTTAAATGCCCAACATTGAAGAACAAATAACATGTAAACCTGCTCAAAAGTATATTCTGTACCATTGAAAATAATGTTAACAATAAATTTGTCATGATATAGAAAACATCAATATAAATGAAAGGAAAGATGGAACATGAACTTCAGGCATGTAGAAAGTAAATGTTCTTGCTGGAAGAAAAAGAAAAAAATAAAACCTTGCATTTTAAAAGATGGAAAGGATCATTCCAGAATGTGTTTTTTAAAAAGTTACCACAGTTTTATTGATGTGATATTCATTATTAAGTTTATAACATTTGCAGAGATTGTTTTATTAATCTTTGTATAAAATCTAACGCCTACGTGTGCCTGGCCCATAATATGTTTGCATAGTTTTCATTTTGTTCTTCTGTTTTGTTTTTAATAATTTTGATAGAATTGTAAAGAAAAAGGTGACTGGACCAAATTGGGAAATTTATACATTAGCGTAAAAATGGGCTGTGAAAAATTTGCAGATTTCCAGAAATTTTGTACTTGTATTGCTGAAACACTCACAAAAGACTGTAAAGAAGAAAGACCAGGTGTTCCTTTTTGTGAATTTGCTGAAACAGGTAAAATATCTCTATTGTTCTGAACATTATGAGAAAGGTGCAGTGATATGAGGATAAAACCATTTTAATATTTTCCATGTTGCAGATTTCATATGAATTTTTCTATCTGCTTGTTAAGTTATATTATAATGGTATAAAGGCAAGAACTGGTGTTTTAGTATCAGATTTTTTTAAAATTCTGCTTAGTTGTATCAGATATTTTATATTCTTATTTTTATTTATAGTGGCTAAATTATTGCTAGAAAATCTCACTGGAGCACCTGAATTTTTGAAACACTGAAGTAGTTACCACTTTACTATTGTAAGGCAACAAAAGTCATAACTGAATTTTGTTCATTTGCGTGTTTGTTTTTTTAGTGTGAATACTTTGTTACTACAGTTTTTATCTGGGGTTAGTAAACTTTGTAAAAGGCCAGATCATAAAGTTTTAGGCTTTGCACACACCATGTATGATATCACACAGTTCTCTTTACTTTTTTAAATAAAAACTATTGTTAGCTCACAAGCTTCAGTAGTATCAGTTTCATGTTAATTTGCCTTTTCCATCATTTTAAATAATTGTTTCATTTTCTTCCATATGCCTACCTTGTGTTTCAGTTAGCAAAGATCCACAAAATAGTGAAGTAGATAAAACTTTGCTGGGAAGAATTGGAATCAGTGCTATGTACTTCTATCACAAGCTGTTGCAGTGGTCCAAGGTACTTCATTAAATGTTTGTTTTCATTATGAATAGTGATAGTTTAAAAAATATGAATAGAATAAAGGTTAACCTTCAAATTAAGAATTTGCTAATAGTCATTACAGGCGACAGAATGGAACCCACACTAATAAGTTAATTGTTAAATGATAACACTAAGTAAATGTGAAAAGGGGGTGACATGAGACTGAATACTTCGTAGAATTTCATTATAGGTAAGACTTAAGAGGCTGTGCTAAATCATTTATATGAAGCAATTTTCTGTTTATAATTTTTTTTGGCCAACTCAGTGTCAGTAGCATTATAATTCTGGAAGAGTTCACGATACCTTTGTTAACAAAAATTCCTTTAAAATTAACAAAATTCCTTTAAAAAACACCTCTTAAAATGCTCTAGAACACTGTATACCCTATATCTTGGTGTTGTAACTTTTCAAGGCTTAGCTTACCATGTAAATGGACTAGTGATCAAGACCGTATTGTATTTCTCTTCTTTAGATTTCCCTGAGGTGGTGAGCAGAGTTATAGACTCAATAAAGTCCAAGTAGTGGGCAAGAAAATTCAAAATAGAAAGTGCTAAGGAATGGAGTTGATAAAGTAGAGTAATTGAAAGTGTGGTAACTATTAAATTAATTAACTTAGCTTTTGTTACCTGTTACTTTTTTAAAAGAGGTCATTTATAATTGAATATTTGTTCAATAATATTTAAGTATATTGTCACTTATATACACAAAAAAATTCATGAATTTAGAAAAAAATTAACTCAAAATGGTGGTACAGAAGATCTCCAGGAGATTGAACACGTATGTGGCAGGCCTAGGGTGGGCAGAATGTACCCTGTCCCTGCCTTCTCAAACTGTCATAGTTTTCACTTAGACCAGAAGAACTACTAAAGAAGACACTTTCTGAAAATTTTTTTGCCGAAAATTCAAGAGTATATTTTTATTTCTTGGGTTATTATTTCTTAAGACATCAAGATGTCAGTGAATTTTTGTTAATTAAAAATGTTTACCTTATTTAGAAAAATTATCACCTTATTTAGTATGAAGCCTATTTATTTTAATGAAGCTTATTCCTTTTTTAACATAAAGCAATAAATGGCCCGGAGATATCACTTAGTGTCAGAGTATACATTTAGTATGCTCAAGGTCCTTTTTCAGTTCCCAGTATCACAGAGAAAATGTTGAAATTAAGCTAAATTTATCCTGAAAAAAAGTATTAATTTATTCAGTCAAATTGAAGGTACATTGACATCATTAGTAAGCATCTAAATATAAAAACAAGTGTTGCAGAATTGCACCTGCAGCCTGCTTTCGTGGAGCCCCTAAGCTAAGAATGTTTTTCTCATTTTTAAAAGTTAAAAACGACCATCAAAAAGAATGTACAAGAGACCAAATGTGTTCTGCAAAGCCTAATATATTTACTTTGTAGCTGTTTACAGGAAAGTTTTCTAGCTGCTGGTATAAAATAATAATGTATGTTCACTTCCTAATATCCAAAATGAAGACAGTTTTATTGTAGAATATGTGAATTTTTTTATTGAATTGAGGACTTTTTTCTGCTAACAGTTTTATCCTTTCCCCCCCACTATCACTCTTTATCTAAATTTGATAACAAAATATCTTCCTTTATATTCTCTCTCCCCGTCAGACTGGTCAACAAAACAGAAGTAAAACCATATAATCAGTAGTTTTCCAAGGAAAGCATGAAATTCTTTCAAATGATATTTTGAGAGGAAGCATATATAAAACAGTAGAAAGGAAAACCACTGATAAAGGGGGGTGCCCAGTGGTAGTAAGAGGGTAGGTAATATGACAAAGGCCTGCTTATTCCACTTCCCTTTCCATCTTTAGGGCTCAGCAGGAAGGGGCTTCCAGAATTAGTCTTAGAGCAGTTTGGCAACCATCAGTCTAGGATGATAAATCAAAATGGATAATTGCCTTCTGCATGATTACCATTGACTTTGTATCTCTCTAATACTATAATTGATACTCAATTAGTGTTCTTTATTTTCACTCTAGGGAAGGAAGGTCTTAGATAAACTATATGAATTAAAAATACATTTTACAAGTTTAAAAGGACTTACAGGGCCTGAGAAGTTAGCACCAAGATGTCAGATTGTGAATATTGCAGCAGAAATTTTTCTAAAAAGTGGAAGCCTAGATGGTGCCATTTGGGTATTAAGGGGTAAGTTCTCATATGCCACAAACATAAAATAATTGTTAAATTTGTTAAATTCTTATCTGTCATTGCTTTAAGTTGATACTGAACTTTGGGTGATAGTTTAGTCCAGATACTAGTGAACATGTGAATAGAAAAAGAGTGGTTGTGGTACACACTGAAAGGAGAAAGTGGACTTGGTTGTCAAGAGGAAATTTTATGAGCCTTAGCTGGTTTACAAGCTAGTACTGGCTGTGGCCTAAGCACCATACTAAATGTTTATGTGGATTATCTCAGTTAATCTTCATAGAGTTTAGAACTATTACAGTTTGTATTCTATACATTTAAAATGTTAGCAGAGATATTAAGCAGCTGACCCAAAATGACATAACAAGGAAGGAACAGACAAATTCAAGCCCAGACAGTCCAGCTTCAGAGTCCAAGCTTCACCTGCTATCTGAAATGATGACTGCAGTCAATGTAAACTCTGTCTTCACAAGTATAAGCAAAGGTGACTATAAACGAAGATGCTTATTTTCCCTATAAGGCAGTCCATTTAGCAGAAATTACAATTAAATTAAGCCAGCAGAAGCAACTAAAGTTACTTTGGTATAAGATAAATAAAAATTCAGAGAGCACAATAGTGTCCCTACATGGTAAGCAGTAATGGCTCTGGCTAATTGGACCATCAGGCAGATTTGATAAAGTAGGGTAAAAATAAAGACAATATAAGAGTCTGTTTAGATAGGAAGATAGAATGGATATAAATAAAGCAAATGGATTACTAATATATGCTATCAAAAACATATGCTAGTACCCATGCCTAGTATGCTAGTACACACGCACACATGATCCTTTGTATTTGTTCAGTACTGAGAGATTATAGTATATAGAGGTTGTAAATAGACTACATGATCAGAAGCTCATTGGAAAAGGTTTTCTCCAACTTAACAGCCAGAAAGTTTTCCTAAGTGGGAATAACTGAGATACAGAAACAGAATTAGTGAAATGCAAGTCTGCACACAGGTTCTTTTTTTTTTTTTTTTAAAGAGATGTGGCAAGAAATGAGAAGGGTAAATAGTTGATAAAAATGGGCTTGGGTAAAATCTTGTTATAGGAAACTTCTTCCTAAACATTTCTGGCAAAACTATTCTTTCTTAAATTAGAAAATGAGAGAATTTATGGTAGCAATGTGGAGTGGTCTCTGGAGATATTTGTAAATTTTGATGTTTCAACTTTGATTATCTTTTAGGTTTTATCAATTATCAACATAGTATTCTCTTTCACGATGGCAGTTTCCCTGGAAAGTAATTTCTGTTAGTAAAATTTTATTTTCTCAAAAGAAGGCACTATGGAAGTATGGTCTATTGTCCTTAGTTTTTTGTTTTTTGTTTTTTTTTTAAATTCTTAAAAGGGTTTTTTGGTTGGTTTGTTTAGTACCATGGATTGAACCTAGGCTTGGTAAGCTGAGCAACATCTCCCCCTCTTTTTTTTTTTTTCCCCCCCAGAGAGAGGGTCTTGCTATGTTGCTAAGGCTGGCTTTGAACTTGTGATCCTCCTGTGTCAGCCTCCCAAGCCTCTAGAATTGCAGGTGTATGCCACTGCACCCTGCTTAAAAGGGTCCTGTAGTGTACTGGTCTTTCTATAGAAATAAAATACAAATGAATCAATCTCACTTGTAATAAGTGAAGTTAATCTCTCATTAAATAAATATACATTAAAATTATAAAACACTATTTTGAACCTGTGATGCTGTCAAAGTTTAATGGTACATTTTTCATGAGAGTTTGAAGAAATGGATATTCAGAGACATTATCTTGAGGGGCTTTTTAGCAACATACCTGCCAAAAGTTAAAAATGCATATTTCCTTTCACTTATTTTTTTTAAGAGAGAGAATTTTTTAAATTTTTTTTTTTAAGTTTTCAGCAGACACAACATCTTTGTTTGTATGTGGTACTGAGGATCGAACCGGGCCGCTCGCATGCTAGGCGAGCATGCTACCGCTTGAGCCACATCCCCAGCCCCTCTTTTCACTTATTGACTCTATTTCTAGGAATTTGTCCTGCAAACACATTTATGCCTGTGTAAAAGGGTATGCATTGTAAGTATGGAATCTTCCGTTACACCAAAAATAACAAAAGATTCCGGATAGCTTAAATGTCCATTAATGGAGTGCCAGTTAATTAAACTGTATTATAGCCATATGCTAGAATAGAAAGAGGCAGATCCACAGGTAGTCATTTGGAATGATCTCAAAGATCTATTGCCAAGTGAAAAAATAAATATGTAGAAAAGTACATGCTACCATTATTGTAAAAAATGATACTAAAATGGATGCCAAATCATATTTGCATATATATCTTAAAATATTTTTAGAAGGATGCACCAAAAAATGGTAATTATGGTTGCCTCCAGGATGAGGAATTGAGTGCTTTCAGGACAAGAGATGAGAGGCACATTATCTTTTCACGTGTTTTTTTCTTTTTCCTTTTTAAAAAAATCTATCTTTGTTACCTGCTAAGACTCTTAAAAGGTGGAAATACATACATTAATTAAGGTTGAGAAATGGAGAATATTTTACACATTGTTGGTTTGGTGGATGGTAGATTTGATGGTGAGACAGATTCTATTGTTTTAACTTCATTTTACCATTTTAAACTTTTTCTCAGCACTAGTACTTTTTATCCTGGCAAAGGAGCAACAGATTCCTACCATGTCTTCTCCCAATACCAGCATAAAATAAAGTCTTAAAACAATCTTATAATCATGGTCCAGAGTTTGAAAAATAAGTATCTTAATTCTCTGTAATTCAAATTTTGTAAAAAGTTAAGACACTTATTGAGAAACTGCCTTTTGAATTTTAATTTTATTGCCTTTATAAGGAATATGTTACTATATGTAATATGATTTTCATATTTCATATTTCATATGTAATATGAAATTAGAGGGGGCTGGGGATGTGGCTCAAGCGGTAGCACGCTCGCCTGGCATGCGTGCGGCCTGGGTTTGATCCTCAGCACCACATACCAACAAAGATGTTGTGTCTGCCGAGAACTAAAAAATAAATATTAAAAAAAATTCTCTCTCTCTCTCT